TATATATATATATATATATATATATATATATATATATATATATATATATAACGGCTTATAAATATTGTACTGTACAAAATATATAGCATAATAAATTGTGCCTCGTTAATTATTGCAGGTAACTGTATTAAGTTACAGATTTTATATTAACATAAAACAGAATTGACTTTTCTCCATATGACTAGAATTCTATTGAATTAGGATTTTTGTCCATGACTTCATCAAATAACTGTATTAGTTACTTATGATGTTTAATTATCTGTACAATATATATATCATATTTTCTAAAAAGTAAAGAATTTACAACTGCTATTTTTGTACATTAAATTGTGCGAATTTGTTTGATATTTTATTGATATGAAACATTTAAATCACGAAAATTCATATTTCTTTCGGAGATTCATATAAATATTAAAAATATTAAAATCTGTTTTAAACGCGAGGCTGCTCGCAAATAATTTCTGAAATACGTTTTACTTTCACAAATTGCAATCGGTTCTTGTACTGTTTTGATATTATCTTTAAGTATTTAATAAGCTGTCTTCGATCATGGTAGCAAGTATGTCTACCAAAACAGACAGCATTGAATCGGGCTAAGGACTCGGTTTGTCCATACCAATTATTTCCTCAAAAAGAGTATTTCTTCCTTCTGCTTTTTCTTCGATAATATGTAACGCAAATCTCAATGTTGCTGCGGCTAAATCGCCGACTGACCAGTGTCTATCCATGAGAACTCTACTCACAGTATCTAACTAAAATGTCAAATTGAATGTAATAATGAAAAGAATATAATTTCATATTTGAAAGAATTTGTTACATATATGGTTAGCGTTGTATTTATTACCTTAGACAAACTGGGATTTCCCATAGTATAGTAAATTAATTTTGGAACTCCTGCCAAAGAAGCAGCAAGCCATTGAATAACGAGTTTCAATTGTGGATCTCCCTTTAAACGGGATCCACATCCCCAGTTGCCTGTAGCAACAGGTAATAATCCACCTGTTTGTGGACTACCGTCTCTTGGTATCTAAAAAATTGTGTTAATCAATTGAAAATTATAATTGTCATTTTCAAACTGATGTAAAACCCACACAAAATTATTAAATCTTGGACGATTATAAAATGCATAACAAGTTATGTCATGTTTGATATTATCATGAAAGTTATATTATATTAATATACGAGACATTGCAGATAGAATGTTATCAGATAGAATGAGAGACAAATCATTAGTTATTGGGAATACAGTCAATAAATATTTTAAGCTAAAGAAAGAAGTATATACTCGCATATTTCATCATGCAATATACAATTAAGTTTAACAAAGGTATTTATCGTTATCATAGTAAACAATTATTAATTGGTCATTACATGCATTATGTTTATATTAATACATCTGTAACATAAATTTGCTCACGTTAAATGTTATATTCGATTCGAATTGTTGAGCAATTTTGTCATTTCTGATATTGAAAGATTGTGTTGCGTTTATCTCTTTCACGGATCCAGATGTACTTAAAGAACTAGGATTAGACAGATACACGGTAGTTTCGTCATCAACCAACGTTTGAAAAACTTCAGATGTAAACGTTACCGTCCTAAGCTTTTTACGTTGAATATCCTTTACTTCTTTCAACATAGTATGATTACTTAAAGCATCTTCATAATGTTCTACGTCTTCAGACACAGACACCTGTACAGCGTAATAAACTGATGAAATTTGGCTATGTATAAAAAATTATTTAACATAGCATTAGCCTTCAGTTTGTCTCTCATTCTTCGTCAATATAATAATTTAAAATAAAAAAATGTATAATTTATAGGATCGTTATCAATCCATCATAATAGATGTACATTTGTAATATTATTGTTTCGTTCAAAGATCAAGTAATTTTGACTGAAGAGAGGGAAAGCATCTTGTTTCTTACTGATTGTTGCCTCCTATTTTTCTGACGGGCTAGTTCTAAACTCAAACTTCTCACAGCCAAAGCTAATTTATGGCTCTGATTTACGTCTGCAGAATCAATGAAAGGTTGTGGTTCACCCTCTTGAACTGGAACACCGGCAAACGACTCACTGAGAGCTCTTTTTAACAACGAGCCTGCGAATCGAACTACTGCTCTATCTCTCGCATCTAATTCACGAGACTCGTCTGATGTTATAGGATCTTCTAACCATTTCGCCAGTTGTTCGTAAACTTCTTCGAGTTCCGAACAAAACTCTTGATATAAGATAAAACAAGTCAGTTCTCTTTAGTCTTAAAAACTGACGAAAGTATATTATTTATGTGCGTTCAGTGCGATACTTGCCAGAATTGTATTCAGTGCTGAAACTGTATCTACTACTAGCACTTGTGTCTCTTCTTTGTAGCATAGGTTGATTCTGCCGAAATCTACCTAGCCATTTTTGTTCAGCTTCCAAAGATTCCTTCAGAAAGTCTTCATCCACAGTCTCGTCTCGTAAAACAAAACCCCTTGAACCTCCTCTCTTTACTCTATATGCATATTACGATTTTATATAGTTACAGTAAATTTATAGATACAGAAGTAAAACAGTACGATTAAATAAATTTTCTTACTTGATGTCTTGATCGCAAACATGACTTCCAGACACGCTTATTCCTACTGCGTAACTGCTCTCTCCAAATGAAGTATTTAACGAGGCAGCTCCAGTAGCTGTAGTTTCCCGTTTTAATGCATCTCTCAAACGTTGAGCAAACGTTCCTCTTCGCTCCGGGGTGTCCAATTGACCGCTGTAGCGTTTACTCAATTTCTGTTCTTCCTCCTCTGTACATTGCGATAAAAAATAACATATAGACTTCGTATTTTGGAACATGGAAGATTGGTTGAAAATATTACATATATACCCAAATCTTCATCTATAGTATCTTTTGCACTGTGAAAACTGTCTGTACTTTGACTATTACAACTACTATAAACTGACATTTGACCAAGTGACTTTCGCGTAACTGGCAAAACCTCTCCGCTGGATCCAAGAACGATAAACCGGTTTCTTTTGTTTGTATAACTAGCATCGCTATACACTTTATGAGGGCTAGGTGGCCTTGCGGATTTTCCATTTGGTTTGCTACGAACTTCTGATAGAATATCATATTTCTGTTCATGTGACACAGACTTTGCTAAAAACAGATAATTGAATCGTAATAATGCGCGATCATCAATTGATAACAGTTTCATTGATGTACCTTCTTTGGTATCGTTATTCGTTGATAGCATTTTATCATCCCCTTCTGTCTCTGGAGGAGTGCTACTGAAACTTTCTCCGATCGGTGACAATCTCCGAGATCCAACTGTAACATCTACGTCTGATTCTGACTTTACAGGATCAGTAGGGCTGCTTGGAACGTGTCTTTGTCGAAATCCAAGCAGAGATTTATTCATTTCTCGCAATATGTTATCTTCTTCGAATTGCGATAAAGGTAGTCGCGAATAGTCCTCAGGATCAATGCAGCATACCGTTACCTGTGTGCAAAAATGACAGAGATAGCGAACATAAAGACGTAAATGTGGATCAGAGTAAAAAAAAAATTCAGAAAAACAACAATAGGATACTAACGATATTTGGTTTTGGCAGAGGTTCGAATATAGCTCTGTTCCGAGGATCATTTATTCTAGATATATGCCTAACTCCTTCGACTATTAAAACTTCGTTGTCTTCCAAAGCCTCGACAGACAATATCGCCACGAGCATCTCGGGATGCGTTGCTATCTGAGAATTAAATGAAAAACTATAATTATTGTATTTTAATTCAAAAACAATTGTTTACTTTTCTCGGTCTCTGTCTTTTTTTTTCTCTTTGCTTTCTCTTTTAGAAAGCTACGATTAATCCAGATCGAAATTATCTTTTTCACGCCTTTAGTTATTTACATGCACAGTTTCTTGCGTAACATCACCATCAAGTACACCGCCACCAAATTTCGCACTCGCAAAGCAAACTCGCAGTACTTTAGCTTCCGGTTCCACTCTGTCTAAACGACCTTCGTGACGTATCATCAGTGGGCATAAAGGAACATTGCTCTCTAGCCAGTCCTCGATGGTTAACCACTGTTTCGATACCATTACCTGTAAAATTTCATTCCCACGTCACGACGTATTCACAAGACAACACAGCATCGAGTACAGTACCTGTCTGGAAATTATTAATTTCCCATCCAGCGCGTTATCGTTGTCGAGGTAGTCATAATAGCGAAATATACTTCTCAGTTTTGCCTTTTGTCCATTGCTAAAAAAATAAAAAAAATAAAAAAATAGAAGAATCACAGTTACACACTTCGCATTGACCTTTTATTTTCTAAAAGCGTCTTAAACGCCAAAACTTGTTTACTTGATGCTTCATGTAATAACTCAGTTCTTACTGATGAAGATGCTTGAAGAAATTTGTGAAATTGAAGTCCCGCAGAGTCGGATGCGTCTTCGCGGTTCTTTTTGGATACGTGGAGAAGAACGCGTTCGCGATTAGAGACGAGATGAAGGCGTAACTGTACTCGACGCAATCCCCTGAAACATGAACAAAATAACATCTCGTTTTCCTTATCTTGTACCCCGAATCGTTTCTGAATTAATCTCGAGTTACCTTGCTGCTGAAGGCTAAAGTGCAAACCCTGCGGAGGTTTACAAGATCTTAACGCTTTTGCTCTTTCTACCATTCGCGGTATCGTATTTACAAAGATTTGATCCCGTTCAGTGGTGTCGAGGTCGTTGTCGAGAAACGTTGCCAATCCGGAAAATAACTCGGGGTCCTGCACGTCCTCCTCAGGATCGAGACTTATGCTGTAAAAATAAAAACATAACCAAGCTAGTTGCGGCTCGTCAACGTGCTTGCAGAAACACTTATATAGTGGACAATTACAGTACAGAGAACATTTAAGACATTGGGTGTATATTTTGTACAGATAAGGCGTTGTACTTAAGAGCAACTTGGGTACATCTTTTATGGATATTTAGAAATACTTTTGATCAGATACCTTTTCAATATGCACTGTTCCTCGTATCTTTATAACAGCATGTAGCAAAAAAATCGAGTCCGTTAATATCTCTCCGCGAGATAAAATAATAATGAAATCAATTCGAAATATATAGATATATTGTATAGATACATGTGTTCGCGTTGCCGGTTAATCGACGCTCGTGTATGTGTGTGTGCGTGAAACTCGATTAAATAGCTTTAGCTACAATGCTTACTTGCACATGTCGTGTAGCCTTTGCATCGCTTCCGCAAGGTCCTCCGAGTTCCTGGCAGCAGCCGCTCGGTCCAGTTGCTTCACCACGGCTGGCCACCATGGTAAGTCACAGGGTAACATTACTAAAGCCATTCTAATCGCCGATCTAAACATCAAACATCACGATATCCGGTCGTACTATACATCGTATGCAAATGAAAATAATTGGCAATCAGTATTCTCCTTATCTATATATATTTTATATATCTATATATATATTTTATATATATATTTCATATATCTATTATATATTTTATTTAGATAGTATTTTTCTTTTCCTGTTGAATTTTGCGCTTGTAATACTTTTTTTTTCAAGTTATGCAATTGCACAATTAAATCAAATTTTTACTACTGATCCGCTCACGAATATCATGTAACATTATATTTTATATATTATATATTATTATATATTATATATATAATATATAATAACATATAATAATATTATATATTATATATATAATATATAATAACATATAATATTATATATTATATTATTATATATTATTATATTTTATATATTATATATTATTGTATTTTCTACAACATTTTCAAGTACTCTAAGTTCAATCGAGTCCCACAGCATCAATCTCTCGAATTAATTATTATTATTACTTTAAAAGTGTGTTACTTCAACACACGTTGCTACGTGCATTACTTGCGAGCGCATGGAACGGCAGCAAGTAGTGCAAGTTTAAAACAGGCGCGATACGTCTACCGAATCGCTGGTAACGCATACGTACGTTTATGCTCGAATTGTCGCGTGCAAACGAATATTCCATGGTTGTGAGATGAGGCAAGATGTAACTCGATATCCTTGGTCCCTTGTTTACAAAATAATATTCGTTGTACTCCTTGCAAAGCGGAATCTCTAATTAATCTTTAGCATGTATTTTGAAAAACAGAAATTTTCGAGATTACTTTCGGTCTGTTTCAAAATTCGCGGATAAGTATTGACTCTTTCACGATCACAGAGGGAACATCTTGGTTTATATGCTTTATATGCTTGTGCTCCGTGAAGACAGTAGCTTAAAACCAGAGCAGGATGTCTTACCTAAAGCGTTCGACAAGTGAAATTCAATTGTACAAGGTAGACCAAAAGTTTCTTCCCACTTTTTTTTTTTTTTTTTTTTTAATAAAACATCAAAATATAAGAAAAAGCTAATTTTATCTTAAATTAAATTTAAAGTTACGAATTTATTTTGGTAGGAAGTGATTTTTGGGCCACCCTGTAGAATGGAGTTTATCGTTACTTCGTGAATTAAGATATTGTTACGCGAAACATACATAGGATGTTTCAAGACAGATGGCACGAACGAAAGGATGAGTCGAAATAAGAGAATAAAGAGAAAGTCAAATTTGACTATTGATCCTGTATCGATACAGAGGCAAATAATTAACACGAGGATACTGTGTGCGTAAAAATAAGTGAAAAATAAAATTTTAAAGCGTCATTTTCAAGAAAATGAGCTTTGAATATGTTTAAACGAAGGCATTAACGAACAAATTTTATTTGTTCTTTTCGACTCATTCTTCCACGTAAAATCACCTCGTGGTTGAACCACGCGTTCTGAAACACTCTGTATACGTATACATGAATCTCCTCATAAGCTACTATACATTGTGAAGCGTGATGTTTCATCTCGTCCGTGGCAGCGAAATATTACGATTAATTAAATAAACCAGACACATTCATCTGAACGAAAATCACAATATCAATGTTAATGTATATATATACATATGCGCATACAGACATTGAACAAATTACCTTTTTTTGGTGCCTCTTCCGGTTCATTTCAAACTGTAAACATTAAAGAATTAAACACTCGACCGACGATTTTTGTTAAGCGTTCTCGCGAGTCAGTTCTGTCCAACAAACAGACGAGCAAATTCCCGTCAAGGTCCCCATATGGATTTGAAACGTGCTCGTGCGCCTGGCAGAAAGGGTTGGTACGGTTAGTGATCTTTCACCGATTACGAGAGTAGCGTAATTAGGCTCTCCTCGCAGGCAAGCAGGCGACTAAGCCGGTCAACTCGCAAGTACCGTGTCACGGCAGAGGTAAATGCCCATCGAAAACGTTTCGCGAGACTGTCAAAAACCAGAATTTATATAATCACCTATGATCTGCCTCGATAGGTTGTCGATCAGCTGACGCGATCGCAAATAATATCACGTCGTAACGCGTGCCATCGCGTCGACGTGCACGGTGCTCATCGTCCGGTGTTAATGCTCGTGTAATTTTAGCGTCTCTAGAGAGGGAAAGAGAGAGAAAGAAAGAGAGAGAGAGAGAGAGAGAGAGAGAGAGAGAGAGAGAGAGAGAAAGGGAGTTTAAAATAAAAAAGAAAAAAATCTCTGCACACAGTTGAACTCGACTGAACGTGACTCTTTTAGCAATAATTTTTTTTAACAGCTCTGCGACACCGTGCGGAGACAGTTCGCCCTTAACGAGTTTAACGCGCAAACTTGCCGAATTGATTGGTGTACGATTACTCCGAACTAACGGGTCTATTTTCGCGGGTAAATGGCACGAAACGCTGGAATGACCCGCCGTTAGCTACAATACTATCTCGTCGTACACGAACGATGGCTGGCTGGTCCTTTTACTTTGTTCACGAGCCGCAACCGGCGGTTGGCGTTGCACGCACTATTTATAGAGCGGCGCCGGCGCCTTGCCAAACCCTATATAGAATTTTTTTTTTACAACAAACTTACTTCAGTAACGCGGATTCGTTCAAGCGGATTGTCACATCACGATCGAGACAATGTAGCTTCAAGCCCTTACTCGTTACACGTGAACTTGTCGCAGATGAAGCAACAATAATCTTACATTTGGAATTAGCCGAAATTAGCATACGCGTGCACGTATACGAACGACGTGCAAAACTTGTTTTTTTGCTACACATTTTTGAATGCTCGAGTCCCCCTTTATCGTCCTAGCGTCGCTTTCAATCACATCCGATTCGAGAACGAGATTTCAATTCCGCCATGTTGTTGGCGTTGCGCTTTTATTCTACGTCGAATCGATAATGTCGCATGCGACATGGAAATGGTAAGAGGCTGACATGAGAAATGTGAGAAAGCATTGAAATTAAACGTCTGGTTTATATTTTTTGTCCTTCTGTGTTTGTATCGTATCTATAGTTTTATACTCAAAATTTTCAATTGCAGAAGATTTTTATCGTTGATGGTAACTTCATTATTTTTATCGACTGAGTTGCCAATTATTTAACATAATAAGTCACAGAGGGCACGAGTAATATTCTTTTTTTTCGAAGTCGATATTTCAGAATGCGGGGCACCAAATTCTAATATAATATCGTATCTATTTCGTCCTTAGTCAATGCAAATATATAAAAAGTATTGATAGACAAGCAATTTATATACATATGTATTTCATATTTCATTTTCCACATCTTAAAAGATTTGTGAAACAATGCTTGTGCGAAAAAAATTGCAATGAAAAAATGGGAGAAATATTTTATACTACAGTAATATACATGTAGTGATGTATAATTATACGTACGTACATATATAAAAATTAAATGAATCCTGAAATCTATGTGATTATAAGTTTATCAATGAATCAATATTAGACGAAATGAAAATATTTATTATTATCTTGATATCGTGATTTTTTAGTTTCTAGAATCCATATATTATTTTATTAATCTTTTTCTTATTTTTAATACGTATGATAACGTACATAATGTATCTCTCTTTAATATAAATAATGTCAAGTGACATCATTGACGATGTATATATGTATTTGCATTTGTATCGTGAGTCCATGCTACGTATGCATATCTAGAGATTTCAATACCCGATAAAGAAATATCTGAATACGTTCAGTACCAGTCATTGAAGTCACTTCCTCTCGAATTGTTCGCCGCTAGTAACCTTATACGTATAAGGGAGATCTTTGGAACAATGAATAAACGCAATATGTATATAAATACATCGTATAATGTCATGCACTTTGCTCGTACGCCTGTGGATATGCTACCTTGCAATTGTAATTCCGGCAGGTGCCACCACCTTGCGGGATAGTTGCGTGGTTCTAGTTATTGGACCTCAGCGGTGTATAAAGTCGAAGCAAACAGGGTATTTGCCAGAAATATACTTACTATGCTTTATGATTATTTCGATCGGATCTGCTTTGTTCACGAAACAATTGGGATATCTTCGTTCAGCATTTTGTCAACTTTTATTGAAATGTATCATTCAAATTCTAGAGGTGTCTACGAAGCGTGGGGCCCGTGAACAAGTAGAGACACGCTCGTATTCATTACATTCGCGTGTTCCAACGGTTTCAGGAAGCTATTGTGCTGTGATGAAGAAGTGGAAGAAGAAGGGGATTTTTACGTTAGTTCAGTGAGCTCACGCGCGTCGGAGAACAATCGTCGACGGAGGACACGATCTGAAAATCTTCGATGTCCAAAAATGGCGTTTCTCGTATAGCACACCAGCACAGTGAAGTCCGTTCGAGTTTCGTCCAACGAGTGAAGCAACCTTTTGGAAGGAAAAATTGCGTGTGAATCGAGGAATAGAGTATCCTGGAGAAACTCGGTTTCGCGAGATTCCATGTTCTGGAGATTGCTCTCGTAGAACAACGGCGTAAATATCAGTTCGTATATTCGAATATTCTCAGATTTGTACTCCCACGAATAAAATGATTTCCGCTTGGAACGTTTATCTCGACGATACAAACGTCATCCGCGACGATCAGAGTTTTGCAAAACTGTATTTTCAGAATTGTCCTTTTACGTATTTTTTGAATAAACTTACTCCAAATCGCGCTCTTCCAACGAAGATCCCGATTGGTCAATTCATGGACTATTGACCAATCGACCAATGTTCTTCTTGCAAAGTCGACGAGCAATTTGCATATATGTATATTCTAGAAACTAAATATATTATTTTGTGCTGTAGAATGATCGCGAGAAGTTACATTGAACTGTTTAAAATCACGTTGACAGTGGATCGTGATTAACATTTGTAAGACATGCAAAACATCCAAAAGTCAAGTGATCGACAGTAAAAGAGAAAAAAAAAGTTCGTTAAGGTAAATGCGGTGAAAGTGCAGGGAATAGAAATAAATTTCGTACACACCAGTTCTGCAAGTGCAAATGTGCAACGTCAATGTCTATTGAAGTTTCCCATGAAACGACGAGAGAAGACCGTGTTCTTTCTACTCTTACAATTAACTAATTTCTCGTAATGCATTCTCATAATACTAGTAAGAAATATACGTAATTGTTTCGTGTATTGAATAAATTTATATTTATTTCTATTTTCAGTTATGTGCAGGATGTTCAGAACTTAAACTGTTAGAGTTTGATCTAAACATAAAAAGGTTTGTCAGGAAATGTTTTGTTACAGAGTTACATATAAACAAATATTGCACGTATGAAACAGGTAGCTACGCATTTTTCTTTACCATTTGATTTTTACTTATGAAGTACTTTAAAATGAAAGATCTATTCAACAGAATTATCTTCACATGGATGGTGCAAAGAATTGAAAATTTTATTGAAATTCAGCAAAATTCTCAGTTCTTCATAGTCTTTTATTAATTCCATTGTTCATCGATAATTGAACATTATTTTTTACCGTATTATAATTAATGGTACGAAATCATGGCACGTGAAAAAGATATATATTTAACGTTGCTACTTAAATATTTCATGTATACAATATTTATTTCGCAACAAAGCGTGTTTGGCGTCGAATTTTATGTAACACTTTTTTCTTTTTATGTATAGATCAAGCCGTCGCAATTTGGCTGTATAAGTTCGGGACATCCTGTATATATGTACATCTCCATTGAAATCAGATAATCGACATAAACGGGAATATCCATAAGAGGATTCAATCCTGTTTCGAACGCAGTGATCGAAAGTATCGTCAGAAGTTTATTTTGATTCAATGTAAAATTTTTACGCACTTACGCAAGCTTCACCGGTCGGACAAGGTTTTGAGAGAAAAGTGATGTCATAACATGGTGTAGTGTAACGAAGCAAATTCCTCCAACACGTGCAGCTGATGTCACATTATTATACGTATCACATTAAATAACTAACAATGCAGCGTGATTAATTGTTCGATATTTTTCATCAGACATCTTTCGCACAGGAACGGGAACGAGTGATCTGCGATATTATATTTCTACGCTTTCTCGTTTCCTTTCTCTTCGCCGTAACTATAAAAAATCTAATGACTTCCAATGATTCTAGCAACTAGATTTTCATTTTACAATTCAGTTACAGTTAGTGTTACAGTAATTAGCGATTAAATTGCCACGTTATTGAAGTACAGTATACAACTGTGTAGTTAAATTACAGTGTACAACTGTGTCCTAAAGGTATTAAATCATTTGATATAGTCCGGTTGTCTCGAATTATCGATTAACTGTTTCATTATATTGGCAGTAAAAGAGTTTGCATGGTACGAATATTTTGTTGAAAAATAGGAACAAAAATGGAATCGACCGAACAACTACGACCGGAAGAATTAGTGGGTCTAGTAGCCCGTTCTGCGGAGGGCACAGCAGCGAAAGGAATGCCCATCAAAGGACACGAGGATCTCTGGGTGGAAATACAGGCGAACACTTTTCGAAATTGGGTGAATGAACACCTAAAGCACGCGGTCGATGCCGCAAACAGTCCCGTGATTGATCTCGTTGAAGATTTTCGAGATGGTACACGACTCTGCGCTCTTGTCGAGGTACTTACTAAACGACGTCTGCCTCGATGGAATCCCAGGCCAGCTAATCAGCATCATCATTTAGAAAATGTTTCAACAGCTCTTCAAGCCATCGAGGCTGACGGTGTGAAACTCGTCAACATCGGTGAGTTTCATTGATTATTCACTTATAAAATGCAAGAAAATTATGCCAAGTACATACACTCCCGTTCAGAAATCTTAGGACAAATACTATATCTGTTTGATAAGAATAATACAATAAATATAAATTATAAATTATGTACACGACATGCAATATAAATTTACAGTAAATACAATAGAAATATAATGTAATTAAATACAATAAGTACAGAACATACTTTATACAATAAAGACTCTGTTAATACATTAATATATTGTATTGTTGTATTATTATAATATATGTAATATTATATTGTATTAAGAAATATGCACAATAAGCATTGAATGTTAAAAATAAAAGTGTTCTAAGACTTTTATACGCATCTTTAGCAAAAAATGCATCGCTGTTCATGTACTTCACAATTTTATCCGCAATCGTTTCTTGATAGCAAAACATAAGCGAGAAAGAAACTTTATTACTATCAGTCTAAATATACCGCATAAACTACAGATTATTTTCTTCGAGCGATTAAAATATTCAGAATCGCAGTTATATAATTATGTATACAAGGAGGAGTTTTTTTTTTTTTTGTCAGAAAATATGCATACACACATATAATCGTACATGCGATTTACATATATATATACAGTATGAGTCAGATCACGATAAGTGTCATTAAATGTGGATCGTCGTTACAAACGTATTTTGTATGAACACACACGGATCATGCGTCTACTTGTAATTTCTCAAAGTTTTATTAACGCCACAATGATAGTATCTATTTATCCATAGTTGCAGTTACTTTTCAAAAGAAAAAGTATGTTGTGACGACGTTACTTGTAAATCGAAGTCATTGCCTTTTCAGTGTTCTATCGGCGCCTACGAGATCATGATCTAAAACCTTCATATAATTACATTATATGTAGCAACTATAAGATATAAATGCCCCGCTAAAGCATCTTTAACGCGCGAAGAAACTTTTATAGTATTTTAATAATAATTACTTGTACTTAATTACTGTGACGATGACACGGTTATTAACATTGGAAATTAGCGACGGTAATGATCAGTTTTCTTGGTATAATTTCCTTTTACCGACCAGAATTTCTCAACGACCTAAATAATTTTCACGTTACACTTGTTTCTTGCAGGTAACGTAGATATTGTCAATGGAAATCTGAAATTGATCCTTGGTCTAATATGGTCGCTCATTGTAAGGTACCAAATAGGCAAGTCCAAGTTCCCTCCAAGGAAACTTATGCTGGCATGGCTCAAGGTCAGTACATGTAGTTCATCAGTACAATTTATCGTTGAAATGTTATACATTTGCTTTTGCATATTTAGAATGTAATGTAAAAATTATACTATGTATACGAATAAAATTTTGCTAAGAGAAGATTTTTTGATCGGTATATACATTTTTACAGGCGGTCTTGCCAGAGTGTAGAGTCAATAACTTCACCACAGACTGGAATTCCGGCGTATACCTGAGTGCATTGCTTGATTATTGCCAGCCAGGTCTATTTCCTCATTGGCGCCGGCTCGATCCTAACGATAGGTGAAAATAATCAGATGAAACATTAATCTTTTTTTTTATGATTACTTCACCAATTAAAAATCAAAAATTCCATGAGAAACTTCATACTTATATTACAGTGTGTACAATTGCCGAAAAGCTATGGAGATTACAAAACGTGAATTCGATATACCTATGGTATTGGAACCAGAGTACCTTGCATCTCCATATTTGGACGAATTATCGGGAATGACCTACTTGTCGTATTTTATGAAAGAAGGTTCGCCAGGTTTTCATGCAACGTTACGTTGGGTTAACTCACAGTTACCTCATCATCCAGTACAAAACTTCACGGTGAGTGAATACTCATCATTCTGATAGTGAATAATATCATGGGCACTTTTTTAAATTCGAATCGTTTCTTTTTACAGACCGATTGGAACGATGGTAGAACTTTATGTAGCATTGTTAGAAACTTGGGTGGACCTGCTCCTGCTTACGATAAAATCGATACCGATTCTTCTATGTGGGAACATAATATACAAATGGGTAAATGTTTAAATGTAATTTACTAATTTACTAAAATTATTTTTAGTCTCTTTATTTTCTTTTTTTACTTTTTTATGAAAAATACTTTATTGTTCGCTTAATATTTTCTACTACAAAAGGTATCGACGGAGGCAAGAAACTAGGAGTGGAGCCTATTCTCAAGGCAAAGGATATGGCAGATCAAAACGTAGAACATTTAGGCGTTATGGCCTATGCAGCGTGCTTTCAATGGGTGAAGCCTCGCCCTCAAGCAAGCAAACAAATTGTTGTTCACATTGATAGCACTTCCGCTAGGGTGCAACAGCCGGTTAGTTCGTTAACTATTATCTAAGAACTTATTTATGTATTCAGTCTCCAAATTATCTTATTTAGTAAAATGTAAAAATGATTGTAATCATTATTTTTAGGTGCATTTCAAATTAGAGATTCTTACCAAAGAAGTAAATACAAGAGAAGTACGTGCTGAAGTAATAAGTCCGAGCGGACGGATAGAATGTAGACTTACATGGAATGGAGTTCATGGGAAAGGAACTTTTATACCTACAGAAGTTGGAATGCATAAGGTTTGATTCGATAATCCTAAACACATTACGTGTTGCTTTATTTAAGCAATTAATGTCGAAAAATCGTTGTTGTTTGAATTATAGTTAATGGTATATAACGACGGAGAATTAGTAGATGGCTGTCCCTATTATTTTAGAGTTTTACCACCCTTAACCAAAATTAAATCATCTGGTATGGATCCGTGCGCGATAGGATCTATCGTTGAAGTTCTAGTCAACAGTTATGGTAAACGTTTTACTCGAAATAAATGAGAAATTGTATAAGATTACATATATGTGTAAGACAAATACATTTTAGGAACTAGTCATGATGGTATTGATGTGACTGCATGGTCTCCCACTGGAAGATCTCTCTCGTGCCCTGTCAAAGAAACTGATGGAGTTCATACTGCAACCTTTCAACCTGATGAGACAGGAGAATGGAGTATCGCGATAACTCATAAAGGAAATCACATACAAGGTGGACCATTTACGTGCTTTGTATTTGATCCTAATGGAATAAAGGTACATTAGTTTTTATCTCGTGTATTTTCTTATTTATTTCGTTGAATATCTCTGACATTTGATAAATGTTTACAGCTATTGGATACGGAAGGTGCTTTGCCAGGACAACCATTTTCATTTACCATTGACGCAACAGGAACAGGAGGTCTCGGTGATGTAATAATAGATTTAGTCCATGATAAGCAGTCTGTTCCATTCAGAATGGAAAATTTTGGACACATGCAGTATCGAGTTTCATTCGTCCCATCGGAATCTGGAAAGTACAGAGTTTACGTATACTTTAATGGTTCCGACGTTCGAGGTTCTCCATTTTCTATCCGAGTGGGAACTCAAAAAGGATCGAGAAGATCAAAGGAATCTAGTCTTGATAGATCCAAATTATCTTCATTGGAGAGACGAATGAATAGTTTGAACGTTTCGGTTGGAATCGATCGATCGAGTCCTGTGCAGCAAAAGGCTTACTCCTCGCCTGCATACAAATTATCCAATTCCTCTCAACATGTACGCGAGTACTCTCCCGTGCGTCAAACTACCTCTACTTATAAGACATCGAATAATTATTCGCTGGAAAATTCTAGCTCGACATATCAAACATCAACTTCTTTCAATCATACTCGACCTCCAAATCATAGTCACAGTCCTGTTTTACGAAATCTTCATAGCCCATCTATGATTAAAGATACGAAAGAAATATATTCTACTACTACGTACACTCATTCAAGATCTCCGACTGTACAAAGTCCTAGTTTTATGAAGGAGTCGAAAGATGTTTATGCATCCAATACAATAAATAGATCTCGTTCACCAAATCCAAGTCCGACGACACATGGCCCAAGATTTTCACCAATTATTAAAGAATCACGAGAAATCTACAGTTCGGGGTCACTGAAGAGATCCCGGTCACCAAACCGAAGTCCAATGGCATATAGTAGCGCAACTCAAAGTCCTATTAGTACAAGTTTCAGTCCAAGGAACAACGACAGAGACAACGGTTACAACAGAAAAGATTCTACAGATAATGGAACAATTGACACAAGTAGCAATGTTAGAGTATCGTCGATGATAGGTGGAACGTCTAGGAGAGATTCATGGGACGCTATAGAAAAAACAAAATCATTGCTCTCTTACGGTAGTTTAGAATCTCTTGCTAATCTCACCAATAATTCTCCTGAAAATACGAATGATTCGAATTATTTCAATAACAATTACAAAAATACTCACGGCTATAATTTGAAGAATATTTTGCATACTCACAACAATACCGCCAATTTTATGTCTACCCAGAAACTTTCAACTACGGAGTACAATACGTCTCAAAAGTATAACAACGAAAATCACAATACTCGCGCACAAACGCATGGAATTCTTAAAAATAAAAACAATAATTATTACAAAGATATTGATACCACAGATGGAGTCGACGAACGATATATTAATAATGGAATTTCTAGTTCATCAACACAAAACAGAAATTACGAACTTGTGAGTGGAAGTGCGCTTGAGACATTGCCGATTCATAAACCGACTACCTTTACCATAAATCAAAATGTAGATCCGAGCAAAGTTACCGTTAATATCTCTGGTAAGTTTCCTGTTATGTTACGTCAGTAGCCTAATGAATCGTATATTTTTCAGCATTATTTATATGATTGGTTCTTAGGTCCAAGTGGTAAAGTAATACCAGTACAAAAATCAACTCTTCGAGGTTTAACGTATACTGTAACCGCCGAAGAAGTTGGAGAACATATCATTCAAGTTTTAATAAATGGCCAACATATTCAGGGCTCACCTTTTAGGTTTGTATTCATTACAATTATTGATAAAGATATACATGGTCACCACGTACGTTAAATCTAAAATTAAATTTTTCATTGTCTCAGATCGCAGGCATACAATGCCCGTGCTATTCAAGTTGGGAACATTCCGAATGGCGTTGTTAATCAACCAGTAGAATTTGAAAGTATGTATCGAAAAATATATATGATTATAAAATAAAGGTATATATGTTATCGTGCATTTCCATGATTATAGTTGACGGATGTAATGCCGGATCTGGAAATCTGGAGATCCTCGTGAATGGTGGTCACGTAACTAGTTTTGTCAGAGCATTAGGTAGTCAACGATTTCTGGCATCGTTTGTACCTCACGAAGCTGTTGTACACCTCGTGGAAATGACATTCAACGGCGAAGTTGTCCCTGGTAAGTCACTTTTTATGTGATATTTGTACAATGAGAGATATTATAATTTAACAAATTAAACTACGTTCAGTGTACAAAAAGGTAATTTTAAACATTTCCAAGCCTAAAATATTTAATGAAAATAATATTTTTATTTCTTGACTCGATGAATTTTTTCTCAACGCGATTACATATCTTTTTATAAAGATAACAATTAAATAGAAGTTTGTTAATTGGATCTTTCTACTTCTATTCAGTAAAACAATTATTCTAGTCTTGAAGCGAGTTATCAAATATTTATCGAAAATGTTTTTCTTTATAAAACGTTATTGTGTTTAAATTTTGTATAACAAAACATTCAACATTATTTTTCAAATGCATTTATACATATATATGTACTGTTCGAATCAATAGGCCATTGATCAGGTCATTGACTTGCGATTTCACGCATCCACGTGATGTTCCACTGACACATATACAACGTCATCATTTCCTTTCCTTTTTGAATTTTTTCCTTTCGTTTATCAGCTAAGCACTGTGGAAGAACAATATTCGTATCCAAACATATAATTACACAGAGTTTAGGTATTTCTGAAATTTATCTTAAATGATATATTATTTAGTGATCTTAATAAAATAAAATATAAATCAAAAGTCAGAAATGGCAAACTTTCTGTAAGTGACACGTTATGAGTTACTAGCAATTCTTTACTAGTAAAGTAAAACTGAAGGAATTTATGTCACGCTACTGCATACCTAAGAAAAAAAAGAAAAGATATTTATTAGATGCAAAATGTAGAAAAGTGCATTTTGCAGTTGCAATTATACATTGAACACGTAATATTACAAAGAAACCCGTTGCTACATTATTTTCCAATTGTCTCGAGTATTAGCATGGTTCAAATGTTCTTATTTTCAAATCTTCTTATTTTTGAAAAAAAGGATATCAAAGAAAATTCAATATTTCAGCCTATATTATACCATACAATACTTTTAGGTAAATTACATTTAAATATTTTTGCACGTGATGTTCAAGTAACTAACATTATTAACTGAAAAGAAAAGAGACGGGCAAAAGGAGACCGTAGGTGTGGTTACTGCAGCCTTTGTGCGCTTGTAGAGTGTAGAGACGTATTTGGTTACGAACGAGGATAGACGGTCTCTGCCTACACACAGCTAAACGTAATTTATGTAACTGCATGTACTACAATAATGATTATAATAAGCCTCAAGATTGTGAAGGAAATATCGAAATTTGATGCTCGTACGTGGTTAATTAATTGTACGGACAATATGGGTAACTCTCTTTTTATTTTTATTTTTGACAGTAACAGTAATCTACATCACTGTAACCTCATTTCGCGCGACTTTATTGCACCTTTGCTATTTATCAGGAAAGAAACGTTCGCGTCTGTTTCTATCTTAAGGCATCACGCGAAATAACTTAGAAGACGTTTGGAATGTGTTCCCCTACTGTTTAATTTCCTTAACCTCCCTACCTTACGATATTCTTTCCTCCTCAGTCCTTTAATATAATATGCTACATCGTGTTAGATGTAAAGCATTGAAAGCATCACATGTAATTTTTATTTGTTAATCTTCATTTTGAAGAATTAAAATTGAAAATTCAAATTCATGTCCCATAGCATAGGATTACAGTTTGTATTTTCGTTCGAATCGAAACCGCAATTCCTGCCACGAGTGTGACTCGATACTACAACTCAAACGGTTAATTTTTCTTTCATCTTTTATAAAAATTTCTTTTTCACGTAGTTATCTTGGAAATAATATAAATATTGATTTCCTGTGATTAAAAGTACGCCTGATATTAAAAATTAATTATATAAATTAATATCTACGTGATGAAAAAAAAGAAAAAAAATGCATGCTTGCATCGTATACAAATATAGTTTCTAAATGCAAGTGATGCGCAAATTACCGTAACGCTTAGTTAGAATACGTGCTAACCATGAAAATTTCGATTATGTATTAATTATACTAATTTATGCGTTTACACGATGAAAGCTATTGTATTATACGTTTATATAACATTATGTTACATTCATGCCGAAAACACCATGTTCGAACCGTAATTGAATCCGATTTGTTGTTGCACAAGCGATGATTTCATTCCTGTTACGATGTACCAGATTTGCAAATTGCATTTACTCTTTCGAGGTGTTTCTCGCATTTCAATGAATCGATAACAGTTGAGGAGAAATTTTTGGAAATATTGAAACGAGTTTTCTTCCGTATGACCCGTTACGTTGGGGAATGTAGCGAATCGCGGGCCATAGCTTCTTCAATGTAACTCTCGGTCCTAAGAATGTAGCGCAAGACAATTCAGAGCAAAAGGAAAGCAGCGGAGCGTGTAAAAGCTGTCGAAACATACTTTTTAATTGCCTTTTTACTTTTCTACTCTCACGCTTTTTGCATTGGCAAATGGCAAACATTACGGTATCAACGTGAAATCGCGACGAACACTGACGAACTTACTTCCTTGAACGTACGAAGTTTGAATCTTTCTCGCGCGGTTGATTGTGAAAAAAAAAAAAAAGAAAAAGAAATGGAAATGCAAAATCGTTGATGCGTGAAAGGCCGTAGAAATACCGAACGAACTTGACCGGCGATGAAATTGCAATGCATGGAGAGTCACATTCCTTCTACGGATTGAGATATCGAGCTCCAATGTTCGGCTGGCATAGCAGATCGAACAGCGTGAAGCACGATTGCCAAACGGAATCGTGACCACCTGAAAGCAAAAGATTAATTTACAGAAAAAGCTAATTAACACACTTGTCCCGTGTTTGTTTGAAAATAATTCCGCGCTGAACGTACGAACCGGCGAGGTTTCTATTTGCGGTCAACGTTAAAGTATCGAAATACGCAGATCAGGTATCCTGTGAACGTGTACTGCAGTATGTACACCGTAGCCAGTCGAACAGGCAAGAAACGGATGGGAGGAGACATGGTCGTATCGTGGCCATTTGAAACCCCACTCCGATTTGTGTCGTCGAGTTAATTTCTAATCGAAACGATCTTTTCTCCCTAGTGAGGGATCGTCGCGAGAGAGAGAAAGAAGGCTGTAAAATTTGGCTATAGAGTGAAATAAAATGGACGCAGGGGGGGAAATACGAGAGAAAATTGTTGAACGTATGCTGAGAGTAGCACGGCCCTGGTTTTGGGCCTAAGCAGCGGCAGCAACCCAGTAGTAGTAGCCAGCAAGCAGCTACACCCGTCCCGTCGCTTGGCTTCGAGTCTGTCGTGAATCGCGACTTGCTGACGTTTCCCCGTCAAGGAATCGGAACTGCAAAGAAGTTCCCTCGATTTTCTCGATCGTTCGATCTCTCTCTCTCTCTCTCCTTTCTTCTGTCACTCGTCGTTTGTAGTTATTCGATCGGCTTTAAAATGGATTTTCAACGGAATCATTCGCAATTGGTGTTCAGCGGAGACGAGATAATCGCGATCGAATTAGTGCGCGAGCAACTGTGAAAATATTCAACATTTGTATTCGTACTTATGGTCGAGACGAAAATGTATTCCTTAATAGATGGGCCGTATCATTGACCGATATATCGATTTGATTCGTGTGTTTTACTTCCCGTTTTTTCATGTTTCAAGTACCCCTGTAACGTAACTTCGATTCCACCTTCTCCCTCCCCCCCCCTTTTCAAGTTTTTCAGCATTTTTCAGGTTTCTTAGTTTGAAATTAAAAGTGATCAAGGTAATTCGGTTTCGAATTATATCTCTGTTATATTTACCAGTCATTTGTCAATCTGGCGAATTCGAATGATTAATTTCAACGATTTTCCCACGATAATTACAAAAACCAGTTTCTTCGATGCTTCGCGCATATTGTTGTTCACTGAACCCACGAGGGTTAGAAAGCATCTGATTAGAGCTGCAATTTTACTCGAACTAGCGCAATATTATAGAAAAGTTTTATTATTATTTTAAACAAGTTAATGTTAGTTATCATGGATTATTATTTATTGTAATTCATTATCATTGTCGATCGACGACTGTTACTATACCTGTAATGCTTATTGTTATTTAATATCTGATAAAATCATAAATTAACAGGATCACCCTGGCGTGTGGGCATTATGCCATCCCCAAAAATGTCAGTGATTGGGGATTCCATAAGATTGGTTTCTGCTGGCAGTCCAGCATTTTTTGAACTTTCTGCTCTTGGCTTCAATAGTAATGAAATTGATGTACAAATTATAAGTACGTATCCAGAATTAATTATTATATTTTCTGTATTTGGAATTGTACACCATAATTGAGTAAAGTAAAAATTTCTTATAAATATGTAATGTTCATTTCTAGCACCTTCCAAGAGACATATACCAGCAAAAATTAACGAAGAATCAGGAAGGCCAGGAGAATTTCGCGTTGAATTTACCCCAATAGAAGTAGGCAGTCATCTTGTAGAAGTAACCATCGCTGGACAAAAGCTACCGGCAGGACCATTGGTTGCTAAGGTGTACAACAGCAGTTTAATTCAAGTTACTGACGTGCCCAGTGCTGTCATAGGACATGCCTGTCAATTTAGAGGTAGCTGAAGATAATGACTTATAAATGAGAAGATATAATATATGTGAATCTACACTTGTTAATTTTACAGTTGATGCCAGTGCAGCTGGTGAAGGACAACTTGAAATTTCTATCAATGAAGGAGAAGTACCCAATCATGTTCAAGTGGTAGGAGGAGGACGTTGTCTTGTTTCTTTCACACCAGAAATCGCTAAATCACATTATATTGATATAAAATTTAATGGAGAAGCAGTGAAAGGATGTCCTTTTATTTGTAATGTGTCTGATACCAGTAGGGTAACGTTAAGTTTGAATCATCTGGAATTAATTCCAGTAGACCAACCTGCTAGTTTTCATATGGGAGTTGATGGCAGTGGCAGTGCAGAGCTTGCAGTTTCTGTAAGAGGTCAGTAAAAATAATAATAAGATCTACAGTACTATTTACACACGCGATGTCAAGAAAGAGTATTCTCTTTAGGACCAAATAATGAATTGCCTGTAAAAGTAACTGGAGATATAAAAAGTGGGTTTACTGCTGAATTTATTCCAAGAGATGTTGGTGTCCATTCAATTAGTGTTGAATACAATGGCCATCCTGTAAATGGCACACCCTTTTTAGCTAAGGCATTTAATGCGGATAAAGTATTAATTGGTCCAGTAGCTAGGGGTAGCGTTGGTCAACCTACACATTTTACTGGTATTTAAAACTTGCTTTACGTTCAATCTTCGATTTTTCTTTTTTTTTTTTAATTCGTTAAAAATACCTTTTACCTTCGATAGTTGATGCAAGTCAAGCCGGCGAAGGGAATCTAGAAATTACAATATCAGCTCGCAGTCAAAATATACCTACTCAAGTCACGCCACAAGGAAATGCTCGATTCTCAGTTAGTTTCGTACCATTTGAGGCGTGCGAGCATATAATTAATATAGCTTTCAACAAACGAACAGTACCAGGCTGCCCGATCATAACTCGGGTAGGTGGTGATAGTCATGTAACTGTAAGTGGGCAGGCATTAAGCAGTGCTGGACTTGGACGACAAAGTTATCTTACCGTTAGTAACGTTGCCGGTAGCTTGGAAGATTTAGAAGTTAATGTTGAAGGTATGTTTATTTCCTTTTTAATATCATTGACATTTTCTACTGTAATTATACATTACAATATATATATATAATATGTGTATCCCGCATGTATCTATCAGTTCAAAGTCGTATCTTTACCGTTGTCACTCAATTTTCATTGTGATATCATACTCTGTGTTTGATATCCCTTCATACTCTGTTTCAATTTAGTATTATAAGATTTTTGCAAATGTTGCACAATGGTTTTATTGACAACCGGAAGTATTATATATATAAGCACCTTCTATGTTGTATTCATCACTTTCATAATAAATTTCTGATCTTTTGTTCCATTTGTTAGTAATATTCATTTAATGAGATTTGTCTGTTAATTATGGTGGAAACTTGCACGAAGTTCTGCCTCTGTGTTTGTCTGTCTTGTTAATCTCTAGCTTGAGAGCAATTCTCTCTCTGTTGCAGGTCGGCCAGCTTTCAGACTACGACATTACTAGACTTCTCAAACACAACTAATCTTATTTTTATTTTAATAATGGATTATATCGAATAATTGGTGGTGGGTTTTTTTTTTTACTTAACATGTTCTCTAAAAGTATTGCATAGAGATAGTTTTTTATGTTGTTTTCATGATCTTTTTCTTACCATCTTAGAATGTTACCATCTTAAAATACTATAAAGGCGACGGTTTTACTTTAATATTCAATTAAAACAGTGACTAACACTTTCCAAATTTTACTAAATTAAAGTAAGCATGACGGCCATCTTTATGGTGCTATATATATATATATATGTTGTTAATTTTATCTTAATTCTTAAGCATTATCGCATAATGTTACAAATTTTGAATGTGAAACTTTTATTGCTTTAGCTAATGTGCCAATATGATCATTTACTTGAGTAGTATTTAGCTATTAAGTATAATATCGACAATGCAAAAATCGACCTCGAATATACTCCTTAAATTTCCATACATTCTGCTTGAGTTACATAACTTTGCAATATTAATTAACTCTTAATCCGAATTCAATTACCAGATGATACAAGCAAACTAATACTTTTATTTCTATTTAAAAAATTCTAGTAGTTAATTTTTTCATAACAGTACATACAAATATATTGCTTCTTTTAATCAGACAGTGCTTATTACAATTAGATACCTTAACAACAGAAAAAATAATTGACCAACTCGCATAATCACTCTACTGTTCATTTTTGATATCCTTGTGATCCACCCTAGTAGTTGGCTGACTAAATTATATTTTAACAACTAACCGGCGGACTTGATAGGACCCAATGGACAGGCCGTACCCGCTCAAGTCACTGACAACAAAGATACAACGTGCAGCGTAGCATTTACGCCGCGAGTAGTTGGAGAACATAGAATTTCAGTAAGCCATCGGAATGTTCCCGTGATTGGTAGCCCATTTAGCTGCAAAGTGTACGATGTGACTGCTATCAAAGTGAAGGATTCTAAACATGGTGTTATTGGAATGCCTGTAACTTTCTTAGGTACTGTTGTCATTGTTAAAAATATACTGAAATATGATATAATACATATATAGAAAAATATTTGTTGATATTTTTTTCTTTTTTGTTTTTCAGTTGAAACTAGTCAGGCGGGGCCCGGAAACCTAGAAGTGACAGTAAACGGTGGTCGCGTACCTACATCTGCTCAAGCTCAGGGTCCTCATACGTACGCAATATCGTTTACACCTCGGGAGCCAATTGTACATACTGTGGATTTGAGGTTTAACGGAGAGGATGTACCTGGCAGTCCTTTTAGTTGCCAGGTATGATATTATTTTGCCCTCTCCTGTTTCTATGTAATTAATTTTTGTATTAAGAATGACTAACTTTTGATGTGAAACGTCAGGTGAGCGACACAGCGAAAGTAATAATAACTGAAGGACTTGAAAAAGTGTCTGTGAATCGCTTGACAACATTTACAATAGAAGCGGATACCTCATTAGGAACTCCTACTGTGGAAGTTCTTTCACCAACTAGAGAAAGTTTACCAATTCATGTCAAGCAAAGTGGCCATGGATGTTATACTGCAGGATTTACACCTAAAGATGTTGGTATGTGAATAAATAATGGCAATAAAAGAGATATTTATAAAAAAAAAATATGTAAAATTTACAGGTGATCATAGCGTTGAAGTAAAAATAAGCGGATTGCACGTAGAAGGTAGTCCATTTTTAGTAAAAGCTTACAATGCTGATAAAGTAAAAGTAACAGACATAAATAGTGGTATCGTTGGTAAACCAGTCTTCTTTAGCAGTAAGTATGACATTTTCTTCGTTACTCGTTTCTTCTACGTTTCAAATATTTATTTATTACATCTGCTCACATTTAATTTTAGTCAATGCTAGTCAAGCAGGTGCTGGTAATCTCGAAATCATTGTTGCTGTAAATGGTAAAAATGTACCGAATTACGTACAAAGCGAAGGAAATGCGAAGTTCAGAGTTAATTTCAAACCGCAAGAAGCTGCTGTACATAGTCTTAGTGTTCGCTTTAATGGAGAACCTGTTCCAGGTATATATACGACTCTATGATACATGATAATCACATATTGCGTAAGTGACTCAAATAAAATTTTTTATGTTTAGGTTCACCATTCAGCTGTAAAGTAGTTGGTGCAGGTCAAGCTGTAATTACAGGTCACAATTTAAAAATGGGAGCCGTAAAGCAATTAATGTCCTTTATCGTAGATCCACAAGCTCCTTCAGCAAATTGTGACGTAATTGTAACACCTCCATCGAACATATCACTTCCCATTACGATAGAACCTGTAGATGGAAAATATAATATCAGTTTTATGCCTACGGAAGTGGGTAGACATAATATCAGCATATTAGTGGACAGTGAACATGTGAAAGGCTCTCCATTTGCTTGCAATATTTATGACGTTACAAAGGTAATTTATTTAAGATGTTAGAAAATATCGTGTGTTTAAATATTATAATCATTTAATTAAAAATTAATGCAGGTACACGTATCAGGTCTCTCAGAAGCGTTATTAGGTCAAGCAACAACATTTACTGTTGATGCAGCAGAAGCTGGTGAGGGTACATTGGAATTGGTAGTGAGCACGGAAAATAATACAGTTAAGGCTGAAGTAGTTGCCTGTGCTCGTGGATTATACGATGTGACATTTGTTCCACAGACTACTAGTACTCATTATGTTAATATTAGTTTCAATGATGACAATGTACCAGGTTTATAATTTAATATCTTTTTTTTTTCTTATCAAATCTTAATTAACATTCATAAAAAGTCAGTAACATTAAACGTGATTTAATAGGAAGTCCATTCAAATGTCCAGTGATTAGTACAATGTTAGATGGACCGTCTATGATTCGTGTTGGGAATACAGCATACATGGACTTAGAAATGCCAGGATTAGAGGGGCCTGTATCTGCAGAGGTTACAGGTAAATGTTTTGTGTCGTTATTATCGTTGCATAATACATCTTTTGATTTTATAATTCAATTGTGATATAGGCCCTGATGGTATAATTATTCCATGTACATTGACAAAATTATCATCCAATTTGTATCGAGTCGAAATTCGAACGCGACAAGTCGGTACTTATAGTGTAATATTCAGTGACGGTCATAAGATCATCAGTTCTCAGACACTTCAAGCTTTCGATCCTGGAAAAGTGATAATTAAAGAAGTATCAGATGTAGTTTGTCATCGACCAGGAACCATTACAGGTACAACATATATAAAATATAATTTTACGTTAAAATATTCGTAAAATATTTCAAATAATTCTATAAAATTTTCAAGTTATCGCATCAAAAGAAGCCGGACCAGGAAAATTGACCGTAAATGTACGCGCCGCTGGAGCTGATGTTGATAGCGTAGTCAGAGAAGGAGAAAATGGCCAATATGACATAATGTTTCATCCTACACGAGCAGCTCCTCATAAAATCCACATAAAATATAATGAAATCCATATATTAGGTATAATATCTAATGCCTGTTTGTATAATTATTACTTTAGTCTTGTTTTGGTTCATTTATATTATTTCTTTTAGGAAGCCCATTAGATGTGACAGTTCGCAGTCCTACTGGAGGAAGAGAAGTAACTGCGACAGGATTAGGATTGTACCAATCATGCGTTGGAAAAGTGACCTCATTTACTATCGAAACTTTAGGAAGCTCTGGAAAAGAGTTTGATGTAGTGATCAGTGGACCACAAGGTAATGCAGTTCCAGTTCGGTGTTATCAACATAGAGATGGAAATTTACTTGCTGAGTTCACCACAAATACCGTAGGTACGTAATTTGAAAATACAGAGGGTATTATTGCCAATGTTGCTGTATCTGATAATTAAAATATTTTGATTTTATTAGGGACGTATAAAATTGATGTCTTACAAGGTACAAAACCAGTTCTGGGTTCACCTTTCTTCTGTCAAGCTTTCGATGTTTCCAAAATAAAATTGCAAGAGCTAGGGCCAATGACAGTATCTATACACGATCATATTGCCTTTAAAAGTATGTATTTTAAAATGATAAAATTATAAATATTTTATTTCACGGACTAAAAGAACATTTTTGCTACAATTATAATCATAAATTGTTATTACAGTAATAAAAACAGACGCTGGAATGGCAGATCTGGATGTAGTAGCAACAAGTCCATTAGGTCAAGAGCTTCCGCTACAAGTTACTCCACTTAACGACGGTGCTGAGATGGTTGAATTTTCTCCCAGTGTACCTGGTACATATATGATTAACATCACATATGGTAAGGCCAATATCTATGTACATCCTTTGAAAATTTTTAATTTGTTTGAAAAATACTTTAGCTATATTTTTCTATTTAGGTGGATGTTCTGTACCAGATAGTCCATTAATATGTACAGTTGATGCAGCCGGACAAGCCCGTGCAAAAGGAGAAGGTTTATTAGGCGGACACGTAGATAAACCAGCACATTTTATTGTTACTGGTACTAGAAGTCCTCCGGCAGTTCAGGTATCTGCAAAAAGAAATATAATTTTTCATTTAATCATCCTCCATAAGTATTACTATATTTGTATTACATTTGCATTGTGTTTTATTAAAAATTGGTTCCTGCTTTTTTTTACAGGTAGATGGTCCGGATAGCGTTTCAAAAGCAATTATCGAAGCGGGGGCTAATCCAGGTACTTGGAATGTGTCTTATGTTCCAACCGAAGTTGGAGTATTCGACATTCGAGTCGTTTCTGCAAGTCAACAACTTCCAGGATCTCCTTGGCATCCAAAAATTATAGATACGCGAAATCTTCGTGTAATCGGTAAGTAATAATAACAATTATTTTTTTACATTACAGGATTATTATTGTTGTTGCTGTTATTGTTATTACTATTATAAAAAAATATATTAATTTCTAGAAATATTTTTTTTATTTTTCTCTAAGGCGGTTGGTCAGCTGTATGTGATGATGTTGGACGATTAAAGTTACATCCATCAAATAAAATTAGTTTCGACACTGCGGAAGCTGGACCTGGCGAACTTACTGGAAAAATAGGGGACCATCCATTATCATTTGAAATGACTTCAAATAATAGACTAAAACTCATTCAGCCAGAATTAAATAGTGGAGAACATCGTTTGGAAATATTATTTAACGGAACACCATTTCCAGGCGCTCCAAAATTAGCAATTGTTCAAGATTTAGAGGTAGTTAATTATGCAAAATTAAGTTAATAACATTATAAATGTGTAAAATTATTAATACTATCCCTTATGTTTAGCCACCTGTACAAGACACAAGTCGAGTTTTGCTAAGAGGAAGAGGATTAACATCAGCAAAGTGTGGAGAAGAAGTCAGTTTCACAATAGATGGCTCCCAAGCTGGCACAGGTACACCAAAAGTTCAATTGTTTTCGCCAACTAGCGAACTCAGTGTAATGTTGCAACATTTAGGTAAATATTTCGTTGTTTTCTTTTTTTATTTTGTTACGTTATGTTTATAAAAGATGGGTTCATGAACAGGAGATAGCGTTTATCGAGCAAGTTATATACCATTAACTCCTGATCCTCTTTTGATGACTGTCTCTTGGAATGGGAGACAGTTGAAAGGATGTCCTTTGCAAATAAATGTAACGAGCGCAGCTGATGCATCTCGAGTCATTTGTTCTGGAGATGGATTGAAACATGGTATAGTCGGTCAGGAAATAAGAAGTTTTATTGATACAAGACGTGCTGGCCCTGGTACGTATTCTGATCTACAAATCTTATATTTATTACTTAATAGCATGTATCAAATCTAAATATTTATCAAATATTTATTAGGTGAATTAACGGCGCATTGTGTTGGCCCACATAAAGTTGCTTATTGCGAATTGTATGATCACGGTGATGCAACATTTACATTGAACGTAAAACCTCAAGAAGCTGGACGTCATGCGTTAACCATTAAATATGCTGGAGAACATGTTCCTGGCTCTCCATTTACATTACGCGTTTCTGGTGCTCCAGATGCTTCAAAGGTAATACGGGATTCAAAATGTTGCCTGTAAATGTGGAAATGAATGGTAAAAAATATTTTTAACGATAGGTTCGAGTTTACGGTCCAGGAATAGAACACGGTGTATTAGCAACGTTTCAGTCTCGTTTTATTTGCGACACTCGTGGAGCAGGCGCTGGTCAGTTAACCGTGAGAGTCCGTGGCCCTAAAGGAGCATTTAGAGTAGAAATGCAGAGAGAAACTCAAAAGGATCGTATAATACTATGCCGATATGATCCAACGGAACCAGGTGATTACAGAGTTGAAGTTCGTTGGGCAGGCGTCCTTGTACCTGGTTCTCCATTTCCTGTTAAAATCGTTGATACACAAGATGAATTATTGATGTTGACACAGGTAAAAGTCAGAATGGTAAAAATATTCAAAATAATAGAAATGTTGAAACTAACCTTTTCTTTTTTTTATTTGGTTTAGAATGGAGATAATTATTCAACGGGACATCATACTATCGCTTCATGGCGTGGATCACAAGCTATATTATAAGTATATTACGCATAATGTTGTTATTATTTTATATGAACTAATAATATATTTTCATAATATATAATGATTTTGTAACTTATCTAAAATCAGCAGTAAAACATATTTTATTAACTTTTTTATTATAATACATTTTATTATATTTATACGTACATACGTACATATATATACATACACATGCATGTAGGATGATATATATGTATATATATGATATACGAGAACGAGAGAGAGAGAAAGAGAATAAAACAAAATCATTTATTACTAAATAACAGTATATTTTTATGAAAACATACCATTAGTAATATATATCATGAAATAAAAGTCATCGGTAAAAAACAATTATTTTATTTATATACATATATTTATATCATATCATATACTATGACTGTTTTTTTTGTTGAATTTACTAAGTTCTCTAAATACGTGTTTCTTTAATTCTTTTTGCCTTTTAAGCTTCCGCGCTTCAACTGCAGCAATCTCAGCTTGATGTGCCTCGATTCTTCGTTTAGTAGCTTCTTTGAGTTGTTTTTGTTTATAAGCATAATTGGTTTTAATCATTTTCATGAGCCTTGCTACATTCGCTTCTTTCGGTTCGCGTACCACGGCTACTCTGCCGTTTCTTTGTTTATGAGATGCTGGCATTAATTTCGGTTTGTCTCGATACGGAAGCTCTTTCTGCAAGCTTCGCGGAATAGACAAGGGTTTGAATACTTTCACCGTTCTCTCGACAGGTGTGTACATAGAATCTTTGTTCGCGGGCATATGTATGTTCTTTTCTCTTTTCAACTGTCCGCTTGTTTTCATTCCTTGCCATCGACTCTTCTCTTCGGCAGGTAACAAGAGCGATGTGACGGGATTGTAAAATCTTGGTACGTCCACCTTGTACCAAGTTCGACAAAAAACAATGTCACTCAAAAGTATTTTATCTTCGAATGTTGCGCGGAAGCATCCCTCTGGCTTTGACACAGCTTTCTTTATCTGTCCCCGTATACCGGACACGGTTTTTATCTTAGCACTCTCGAATTTAGCAACCTCGAGCGCCGAGTTGAACATATCTTTTATAAACGCCGTCTTCTTATAAATTTTCATGGGTACGCCAGTGAGCTTTAGCTTTTTCATGATCTGTGTGCTCTTGTCCATCTCCACGATGGAACCTGTTGCCGCTATTCTAAAACCTGGCACTCTGGTAGCAACATCTTGAACCGCCAGCACTCCTGTGTTTTGTGGCGTGATAGGACCCCAAAAATGTGCCATACAGGCAACATGTTCCGGTGTGTACTTCAACATTCTGTTTTTCAAGTTGTCTTCCAACTTTGAGAAAATTGGCAACGTCTGGAATCGACGCCAACCTACGGAGAGTATCAATGGATCTTTGCTCTTTAGAATCTTTGGATACCACCGATGTTTTTTTATCCTCGTCTGTACGTATCCTATGTTCTCCTCTCCGTGTAACAGTCCCCCGATAATCAATGGATATGTAGGATCAAAATTCGTAACGAGTTCACACGGTACAGTCTCGACTTCGACGCGTACGTACATGCCTGGACGATAACCTTCTAGCTGTACCCTTACGTCATCATCTATTCCCTCAAATTCCGACTTGTTTAAGTTCGCTTGTTTTTCAACTTCAAGTTTCAATTCGTCGTAATATGTTTTAGATTCACCGTTGTCATACTCCAAGTCAAATTGTTCCTTCAACTTTTTCTTCTTTTCCAGCAACTTCTTCCTCTCTTCCGCATCGTTCGTCGTTGATTCCTTTGGAGTTTCCGCTTCATGTTTTACCCCGGTTTCCATGTCTTCGAAATCTCCGTACAACTCCTCCTCGTTTATATCGTCTAACTTTAACAACTCCTCCGCATCTTCCGATTCTTTCCATTTTCCAGTTACGAAGCGATTTGCTACAAGTAGTTTGTTTTCCTCGTTCAACCAATCCAGTTGAGTTTCCGGGAAAAATATGCATTCTTCTTGATTTTGCAACTCTCGTTCCTGTATTTTCTGCTTCTGTTGCTCTTGAACGACACGGAAGATACCACCTATTTCGTCATTTTCGTGTTGAGTTTTCTCATCTTCTTTTACACGATTCCTATCCACTCCATAAACAACTCTCATGAGATTTCTGTTGTTTCGCTGACGTGTCTCGAATGCTTGTCTAGCATGTTCGGCCAGGTTCGTCTTCCATTTTAATTCATCTTCAACTTCTTCATCATTTTCGATCTTATCTTTAACTTGTTCATCATTTTCAATTTCACCTTCGACTTCTTCATTATTCTCAATCTCGTCTTCAACTTCTTCCATATTATCAATTTCGATATTTTCGTTTTCTTCTTCTTCCTCAGAAGTCTCATATTCAAAATCAGTTCCCTGCTCTGCATCATCCATTTCTAGTCCATCTCGTGTATCTCCGTCGCTCAATTCATCGAAACTTTCGTTCTCGCTATTTTCTCCTTCGTTCGTTGCACTTGTACCTGAATTCAACTGATCGAGCGCTTCTTTAATTCTATTCTTTACCATAATATCCGATTCCTTGCTTAGACAACGATACACATCTGTATAATTCGACGCATTTGAAATTGTACCTTTTGTCAAATTCAAAGTTTCTTCTTTCGTAGTAACATCGTCATCTTCTAACGTTGAATTACTTGACAAACTTTTCCTCTTTTTAACATTTTCTGATTCATAGACTTTACTTTTTCTCTTTGTGCCCTTCTTTTTGTGCATCTGTTTGATTTTATTTTCATCTTCTGCCTCCTTCATATCATTCTCACTTTCCTCTTCTCGATCGCTATCTAACTGATCATCTTCGATATCTTCCTGATCGCTATCGTCCGATGCACCGGAAAAATCCTCTACTGACTCGGCAAATACAACCTTTCTTCTAATCCTGCCATTATCAATTACAGTTTCTCCCTTATAACTGTCGAGATTTTCATCAATATCTTGCGACTTTATGGGAGCAGCATCACTAAACAATTGCAACTCGCTATGTTGTAACTTTTGATCTAACGTCTCTTGAGTATCCATTAAAGCACCAACCAAACCTGTGTCTTCCTCTTGATGAGAATGACTGCCAGCCAATTCGACATAAACAGCATCCTTGTCATACACTATGCCACCAACGCCAGAAAAAGGTGCATAAATCAATCGTTCCTTTTCTACTAATGCACGTTTCTTTAACTCCTCTGGCAAAGGACACGGATCTGGCAAGAAACTAATATCTCTGATTTTCAGATCACCACAGCCTGGAATATGTATCGATGCCTCTTTGATTAAAGGAATTCCTCTCACATACCTGGCAACATTAAGAAGAAATTAATGCTGAAATCTTAACAACAATGTACATAATCTTTTACATACCCATATAAACTTATTGTCCTGTCAATTTTTGGATTTTGTCTAATCAACTCAGCGGATGTTAAATCTTCCATTCTATCAGCTAGAATGTAAGGGTGCATGGTATGCCAAGTCAATGGTCTGAACCTCATGACAGATATAAATCTTGCTAAATTTTTTACTTCGGTGCGTAAATATTCCCCGTGAATCAATCCAGATAAGTAAAACAATTTTGCCCCAGCGTAAACTTCTGTCCAAAATCTTTGTTTCAATGTCTTCTTGATCCTCTTCAACTGTTTGGCATTTTTAATTAAATCTAGGTGAGTCAACACACCCATGATCCTAGGCATACCATGAACTTGACAGATATTTAGAAATTCAAATATTTCCATCTCAAAGCCGAAAGATGCATCTACCAGGAGCAATACTAGGTCTGCTACTTTAGCGATGTCTATCATGCTGTTAATGTCGTTGTTACACTCCATGAAGGTGATTCTTCTCTTTTTTCCAGAAACAACAGTGACAGGACCAATTATGTTAGTCAACGGTTGTTTCACAAAACTCTTAAGCAGACATTGAATGACCAAAGATTTGCCAACTTTTGGAGGACCAACAATAGCAACTAGAATCGGAGGAGGTTCAAGAGGCGTCCTATCAACCAGTGGTATATGCTGTTTCTTCGTTTCTATATCTTGTTTCCGTCTAAATCGTCGTTCTGCTTTAATCGCAGAGTTAAACGTGAATGCCTTTGGATTTTTCTGTTTGTCCGTGAGTTCTTGAACATGGCTTTTCTTTGCTTTTTTCTTCTCTGCCTTACGACCGGCATTACGCTCTCTATGTGTTTTATGAGCAACTGCACTCTCTGGCGCACTCGACATTTTCAATTTCTTTACAAAACTTATTAGTCGCTAATTAATGCAAATACATTTTAGGGTTAAGATCATGTTACGGATTAGTGTTGAGGTTATGTTAGATCGATGGCACGCCTTATGCACGCATTTCTGCGTACACGTACAGTATAACGTCTGAAAATAATTCAACGAGGTATTATAATTTACAACATTTATGATATTATAACATGATAGTAAAAAAGTGTTATAATTTGCTACTACTTATCACGTGTTATCTGAGAAAACGGTCACCTTTTCCACTTGTTGAACACAAGTCACAGTAATTATAATTTGTGGACAATAAAATTATATGGGCGTCAGCCTAAGAAAATATATTTGCATTTCCGAGTTATAAATTTTATTAACAACGAATTTTTTGGAATAGTAAGCAAAAAGATTTGCGATTAACAAATAACATTTACTATTGTATCCTCTGGTTAGTATAGACACAGACGAGACTGTCATATATCTAGTTTGTACTTGACTATACTGTCCTGTACTGTATTATCACATGGTGTGCCCAATTAGTACATATTTTCACCGCTAGATGGTTACACCGTAACCATTTCGATACTTTATATACGCATAATATTAAATTTCATTTGTATTGTCTTGTCTAATTGTAAGCGAAGAAACAAGTTCCGAAATTTCTCGCAAACGAAACTCTACGTTGATCGAAAAGCTTTCGAGTAAAATTGGCGAGGGAGGAGAGAGATTCAACAGATTCGGGCAAACGTGTGTCATTACTCCCTCGGGATCAAGCGGTACTAGATTTCGATTGGAAAGTCATCGATCAAAGGTATCTTAATTCACACAATGGCCGAATGATATTGTAAAATTTGGCCGAGTGATCGATCGACTATAGAACGTGATGGCGATGAGCTGGTTAATCGAACGCGATGTCGTCCCATTCTATGAAAGGAGAAACGAACGGAACAAAGTTTCGGCGACAGAAATGCGCGATGACGTATCGCGGAAGAACACCAACAGTGGCTCCGTGGCTGTTCCAGTCCGTCGAGTTCGGTTCGTGACAGCTGTCACCTTTGAAAATCACGGGTAAAAAAATTGTTTAATATATGAGCGCGGATCCACGACGGTTTTACACTTGTCCCCGATTGAGACGCCTCGAACCGCGGCGAATCGCCACGACGATTGGGGTGACTTTCAAATGGAGGCGTAATTTTAGGGTGTGCACGCATTCCCATTCGACTTTGTAAATGTATATATATTCATTCATCTAAGTCCTATGTTTTCTTTTTTTCTTTTTTTTTTTTTTTTCTTTGCCATCCCCACCACTGAGAATATATATGTAACTTTTCCGTTTGCAGGGCATTGTTTCCAACGGATATGGATGTTGACTGGAGTCAAGTTATACATTAAACATTACAGAAACCAACATCGATATTTCGTTTCTTGCCGCGTCCACGTTTAACACGGTGGTAACTCGAGTTGGACAGCAGTTAATCGAGGTAGTTAATTGGCAAAGGGCCAAGCTAGGATGTGGCACAGATGGCACGGGATGTGAAACATTCTACGACTCGTCGGATTTCGCCGACGTCATTGTCAATTAGAAACGTGAAAAACCGTTCGCTGGAAAGAAAGGAGGAAACGCAAGGTTCGAATTGTGTGTGTTGAAAAGGCGTGCAACTGTTCGATGAACCTCGTAAATGCGTATGTTTATATTTCAGCGTTCGATGCGAGAATTCGATGTAAGAATCCGGGACGATCTGGAAAATTTACGAGAGCAAACAGGGACACGAAAATATAGCGGCTGGTCGAATGTATGTACGTGGAAGCTGATATTTGTCATACTGTCCCGATCGTCGTAACAGGATCGCCGATAAATTCATATTTCCGATTGATTGGAGGAACAGCCAGCGGACAACAAATCGTAAAGCAATCGAGCATCGGCGGTCAGTTTGGCGGACGCGGGCTGGCATATGCGCGGCGCTGTTTCGAACTCGAGTGTCCCGAACAATATCGACCAATTATCGGGACGATTGTGTCGCGGCGCCAACTGTCAACGTCGATGGTCAATCGGCCGATCGAGAGAGGGAGTGACCACCGGTCGAATCGATGGACGCGGTCCATCGTCATCACCCTCCATCGTCCGAACCATCGAATTGCGAGCCTTTGTTTTCGCAAGGAAGACGGTGCCGGGCAAGAGGTCAAACGCTGCTAATTTTATGCGTGTTTGCTTTACATCGAACGGCTCGTTGTTTGTCCAGGAGATGAGCTGACCATCGGGCAAGTCCACTCGACCAAGTCTCCGCGCGTGTTGTTCGCCGATCCGACTGGAATTATGAATATAAATATTTGTAGACCGAATACTTCGTAGGACGAAGCTCCTCTTGTTAAAATTGTCGTTGCTAGGTTCGTCACTCGTCGGAACAAAGGCATCCTGCGGCAACGAGGAAAGGAGGACCGCCACCTTATAGCGCCAAGTTACGGCATGCCTGTTCGGATACGCACGCGCGTACACGAGCAACGAGATTCGCGACACGCGACTTCACGTGCGCGAGTCGCGTGCAGACCGGAAGCGACAGTCAAATAGGTACTTTGTTTCAACTCGAACAGCCTTCTCGTACGAGTTGTACGGATGAAGAATTGACGCTTTTGTATTTTTTTTTTTTCTTTTTGTTTTAGATACCGAACCGACGACCAGCGACGACAGTTTCTCGGGCAAATTATTACACCGGTACCGAAATGTGCCGAAAATTTTTGAACTACGAAAGCAAGTCGGTAGTTTGTACGATAATCGTTTCGTACCAAAGACTTTGATAACGAGTTGACGACTCGCGACGCACGATTAACCGAGTTGGTTCCCATAGGCGAGCGATAATCACAGAAACGCGTGCGCCGCGTGCGATTCCTGCGTGAGAACGTTTCTATCGTGATCGCACCCTCCCTCGTTGCCGGCTACCCTTCGTGGCTCGGTAAGCGATCGTTCGCGAGTCTTAGCCACCGTGGGAGTCGCGCCGAGAGACAGGCTAGAACCAGCAAAATGATTTCGCACCCTAGTTTCGCGAGATGGACTCATCATCTGGATTTTAGTTTATCCAGCAAACTGCCAAATTGCTTGTCACGACAGAAACACGCGTGACATCTATAGATGATAGAATACGTACAACACACAATGAAAGTCGATGAAAGAAGGATGATCGTACTGGTGAATCAATGATGGATACTACGATCCCAGATTTCGCGAAATCTTCCAGTTTTAGTATTTACCTACCGACTTGCACTCGGAGTTGCGAACGGAGAGGGTAGGGTAGCGCGACAGCGTGCGACCAGTTAAGCGCCACGAGCGTTCCCACGAAAATCGGCCGGTTGATCGCCGCTTTACTCCCCCTTGATATATCTCTCGCTCTCCTTCTTCCCCAATGTCCCTCGCAGACCCCTGTAGGTACTTACTCACCCCCGGTGGTGGTGAGCATGGGGCGAAAGAGAGAGGAGAGAGAGGAAGTTTTTCACCTTGCGATCGAGAAGCAGAACAGAGACTGCTTGGGCCCCCACTCCCCGAGGAGGCGCGGCACACCTAGTCCCCACCACCGGGGACCGGGGACGAAACGGGGCACGGCGGTCGTGTGTCGTCACACTCGTATCCAAGTCCTCCCGCACACACGTCACACGGGGCACACGAGTCACACGACATACGTCGGCCGCCACGCGACCAGTGCACACGCCTGCGAGTGCACCGCGTTTCGCACCACCGTGCGCACCAATATCGCGAGTATCTGCTGCTTGCCGCGCGTACAACACGCGACCGCGAATCTCTTCGGGAAGCTTCGACACGTGAACAGAACACCAGGCCAAGAACCCGGAAGAAAATCGCGATTGCTCCTTTCGACGATTGCGACTTCTTCCTCCTTCGATCGTCTCGCATCTCGTGCACGCGCTTGTCAAATCGTCAGTCGTCGTTATGTTGTCCCGAACAAGTATCTAAAACTCAAAAGAGAAATTCGAGAGTGAGAGGTGTTAAAGAAAAACTCGACGGAGGTGGACGAGTAATCGAGAGTTTGCGTCGTCGAGTGAGGAAGCACGATGTGGCGTGTGGTGGTCGCGCGATCAGACGAGAACAGCACGTTGCTCTCGTCGGAGATCGGTTCCGGGCCGGTCGGTCCGGTCGGCCCGAATCACATCTCCGCTCTTTCCGGGCCACCGCCACCACCTTCCGGCCATCATCACCATCACTGGGGCTATCCGCCGCCGCCTCATCCCTCTTATCAGCCGCAACATGCCGACGTCGTGGCGTCCCGTCATCATCACGACCTCAGGCATCCGAGCACCGCCACCGCCGACCTCCGACACGAGATGCACAGGCCGGACCTCAGGCATCCCTCCGCTGCGTCCGAGATGCAGCAGCCGAGACACCAGCCGCCACCGGAATTGCACAGGCCCGAGATGGCGAGGCATCACCAGGACATGACGGGAATAAGGCCGGACATGACCGCGGAGATTAGATCTAGTCACGAGTTCTCCGATCTCAAGATCGAGGTCACGGACATGAGGAGTCAAGAGAACGGGCAACAGCAGCAGCAGCAACAACAACAACAACAACAACAACAACAACAACAGCAGCAGCAACAGCAACAAGCGTCGCAACAGAGAAACCTAAAAAGGACTATGAGCGACTCGGACTGCGACGACGTGTTCTCCGAAGAGAGTGGCAAAGAACCGTAAGTCGAGCGTTCGATTTCGATCCCCTCCAACGTGTTAGGTGCCTCGTCGTTAGGTCACTCGGCGACCGACAGTAATCCTTCCCCGGTTTCGAAATTTTGAAATTTAGCACACGTGTGTTAAAAACTTTGAAGAATCTTTCATCTCTCTTTGGCCACGGCAGGCTTTGAATTGATGTACACTGAGAGCGGCGAGATTTATCGTCAGCGTGCCTGTGTCGAGAAGTATATTGAAATATATCGAAACACTGAGTCGCACCAGTGTTAAACCAGTGTTGTTTATTTATTCTATACTCTGCTTATCGAGTAACTAAAAATTTAACAGTGACTGTAAGCTTTATTTATTTCATAGTGTATCTAATAATCTAGTAAGATATGGTACATTTAAATATTTTACGTCATATTTCTTGCAATCGTAATGTGTCTCCCTTTTTACGTTATGTTTTCTTACGCATATTTGTGTCTTTTTCTGATTAATTTATTACCACACCTTTTCATTTTAAGGGTGTTGAATGAAATAACTGTGAAATAATCACATTTACGTTTAAATAACATATGACTAACGAAAAATGTAATTAGACTTCACTTGCGTGAATATTTTTTTGTTGCAATTATGGTCAATAACGAGTAAGCTGAGCATGTAGACGTCGACAGTAGCCAAGGGGTTAAGGTTACAGGAATATTTATTATACAAACAGTATACAGTATAATCATGCAATAGTAACTTTAATCGGTTTTATTAAAACAGTTTAGGCAAAGTGTTGTGGTTTTCCTTTGTAACTTTCTTACAATTATATTTCACCAACTAATTTCTACTAATATTTCTTCCTAGCAATATCGTACTTTTATATATATATAATTATATATATATATATATATATATATATATATATAATTATTCAAAAATATTTAGTCGCGCGAGAATATACACTCATTGTCAGTCAAAAAAGTCTCTGTGCAGTATCATATTTGAATTTCAACTGTGTATAATTAAAAAGTTATACCCGACACAAAAATTTTCGACATATTATTTAAAATTGTTTGCTTTCATTAACCAGTATACGCAAACTTATGCAAATCCTGCAATCAGTTTCGCTGTACTCAAGTTTTGAATATAAATTGAACAGAAATTGCGACAAATAAGTTCCCGTACACTATCATGAAAGTGTTTTGAACAAACACATTGAAAAACTCGAGTCATGCGATTCACGGAGGTCATATCCTTCTTTAGTTTTGTATTAGCAAGCAGAAAGTATATACAAAATTCATAATAACGTACAGAAATGAAAATACACGGATTGATCATAAAGCTAAAGGATGGAAAATCCTCAATAGTTATTGCTGAAATAGTCTCATTCTACAGTGCAATATATTATTAATAAATATCAAAAAACAAATTCTGTTGAAAATCGCAAATATACCGTTTATCAAGCAAAGTTGGAACACCATCATAGTATCTGGTTTTTTCGTCGAAAAAGTAATTTCTTTGTTGCAATGGCAATTGAAAGAAGTTATATATATATATATATATTCAGGGTGTTTCGTAACTTGTAGGACCCACTGAGCTGATTGTCCGTCTAAAAATAATGAAAAAAAGTCATATAAATACATGTCCTATCTGTCTTCGTTTATTAGATATAATGAATTTTCTGTTTTACAAAAGATGCTCGAAATGACCAGCTTGCATTTGAAGACAAGCCTGCACGCGTCTTGTCATTCATCTGGTTACTCTCTCTATCATTCCTGGTGTTTCTCGAATTTGTCAGAAGCCTTGCTCTATTTATATTTTATAGTATTTCAGCATGTTCAATCGATGTTGCGTATGCAATAGATTTTAAATATCGCCACAAATGAAAATCTAATGGATTCAAATCCGGAGAACGAGCAGGCCATGCAATAGGACCTCCACGACCAATCCATTTNATTTGCAAAGTGTTGATTGAAAAATTGCCTAGTCACTCGGCTAAAATGCGGCGGAGCTCATAAAAACCGCATACAAAGTCTAATATCGACTGGAACTTGCTCTAATATTTCGTGTAAATGCGTGCTCAAAAAATCAACGTACTTTGTGTCTGTTAGTTTCCCATCAAGAGAAAAAGGTCCAATTAAAAATTTATCAATTATTCCTGCCCATACGTTTAAACTAAACTTGGTGTTGATGTCTTGAATGCACACTAACATGTGGGTTTTCTTCATCTCAATTATGATTATTATGAAAATTGAATATACCATCCCTGGTAAAACTAGCTTACTTAGAGTTTGCTCTGTTTATACAATTCATTATACCTCATAAACGAAGACAGATAGGACATATATTTATATGACTTTTTTTCATTGTTTTTAGGCGTAAAATCAGTTCGCGAAGTGGGTCCCATAAGTTACAAAACACTCTGTGTATATATATATATATATATTTTGTCCGAATATCAGTAAGAGTAACTTTGGCAGTTTGCCAAGGTTTGAGAAAAAATTTTGCAAAAAAATAATAATCATAAAATTCAGAGAGACTTATTAAAAAATAAAGGAAGAATAAATCGGCAAACGATGTACCGTTGTTCGACACTGTAAGAGTTAATGTTGTCCGACATTCGGCGACATATGGTTCGACTGCTTTCGAACAGCGCGGTAATTAAAATCTCATTGTCTTTGTAAAGGGGGGGGGGGGGGGGGAGAGGTTTGGAAATATTTGGGGACCGGGTTACACTGACGCTGACGATCAATTCGACTCTCACTTTCTTTTCTCTGCACACGCACACTATCAACTATCGTTGCGCCTTTTTTTCTCGATGCAGTTGCAACTCGCCGGGCGGCGACTCCTGCCAGCACGCGTCGCGGAAACGAAGACGAGGGATGATCGAGAAGAAACGTCGCGACAGAATAAACGCGTCCCTCGGCGAGCTTCGAAGGTTGGTGCCGGCGGCAGCGAGAGATCCTCACAGCGGCAAATTGGAAAAGGCGGAGATTTTGCAGCTCACGGTCGAGCACTTGCGAACGCTTCGGAACAAAGGTAAAGCCCCCTCGTTAACACTCGTTGATCGCCGCGTCACCTACATGTATGTATCTGGGCGACAGTCGAGCTACCACTGGGGACCACACTCACCCACGATCTTGATTTTAAATTTTAATTTTTAATTTTTTAATTCAAGAGGCACGAAAGGGTGTAATAACGTTTAGTAGGAAAAAGCGAGTTGAACCAATTGTAAGTTGTCAAACAACGATGTAATAATAACGTAGTAAATTGTTAGATCATTCTGAAGAAGAGTCATAACTACTTTATTAATGTAAAAATACGTAGTATTTCATTAAATACGTAACACACACACGCAAGGATAGCAGGAAGGACAACAGAAGGATAAAAGATGGAAAATGTAAAAGAGAGAGCATGAAAAACAACAACAGGATACCCAAGGGGAGCAAGTTTGGATTCGTGGCCCTGCCAAGAAACCTCTACTCGACGTGTTGAACTATTGTATATCGGCTATTATCGGAGAATGATCGCGAACGACACGTTTTTCCGTCTTTTCTCCTGGCCTGGAAAACACCTGTTGACCGTACAACTTCCTGGTAGGAAGGACTCGACATAACCGAAAAACCATCTGCTGTTAGTTACTGCGTCGAACTCCTAGAATAAAACCAGGTCGTTTAGCCGCGATCGAGGCTAAGTTATTTGTTGCAGTCAAAACGATAGATATTTGTGCATAAATAATAATAATAATAATAATACGATAAATACGAATAATACAATGTAATAACAAGATATGATTTAAACAATAAGACGACACGCGCGATACTCGAAAACAGATGGAATTTATCTGCGTTGATCGAATAGAAAAAGAAAGAAAGAACGGTATGCAATTCTCGCGATTTGAGACCTCGTCGGTAGAGATATCTTTAGAAAGAGAGAGAGAGAGAGAGAGAGAGGCGAGCAGGTGGTAGGGAGGAGCATGGAGCCGAATCGGAGATCCTGTGGGAAGCACAGGAAGTCAACGACTCTTCCGAAGTGGTGTTCCCACGATTGGTGGCGAGTTAGGTAGTAGTGGGGTGTCCCGCGTGGCACCCTTCGTCAAGGAGGCACCGCCGCGTTGCCCACGGTCGGGGCAGATGTCGAACCCTGTGGGAAACCGACTCTCGTTTTATATCTATACTATGCGCCTGCATGCGTAGCTACTCTCTTACACATGCGTACTCTGGCGTCGTCGCGCCCTTGCCTACTTACCTACCTATCTCTTCTCTTTTTAACCATCTTTTATATTCGTTTGCAAGTTCGTCTCTCGTTCTTTTCTTTCCGGTTCCGCGGACGGGGAATTTTTGGAGTATCGAGTACTTTTGTTTTCACGTCTTCTGGCATAAACGAGGCCCCTACGAGGAGGCATCATCCTCCGTCAAGGGATAGATAGAAAGATAAACAATCGGAAATCGGAACGCGCAGAGAATCTTGATTCCTGTTCGGCGGTATAACGCGCGCATGTCACCGTCTACGGGGGTCTAAACGGTTCTCACGCTACCTGTCCCATTTCTCTCGCGCACGTACGACGTGCTTATACACACACCGTGCGTACAGCTATATCCTGCCGGCTGCCGAACTCGTCCAACTATATACCACTTCCACACCCTCTTTCCTCTACACTTTTTTTCCCTCCCATATAAATATCCGCATAAACGATCCGAGATACCGTTCGAATTGCCACAATACACGACGATCATCTGTACGATCATCCGACGATTCGTTTTCAACTATCCTTTTTTTTTTTTTTTTTTTTTCCAAGGTCCCGAAGGATACGACAGCACGAAGCTGGCGATGGACTACCACGCGGTCGGCTGGGGCGAGTGCGCGGCCGAGGTTGGCCGCTACTTGGTGACGATGGAGGGCCTCGACGAGAGGGATCCACTGAGGTTACGGTTGCTCTCTCACCTGCAGAGCTTCCATCGCGAGCATCCTCCGTCCGCGGTGGCCTCGGCCGTGCCTCCGGTGACCAGTCTGACGTCGACCTCGACGAGCAGCAGCTACGAGCCAACCACGGGGGCGGCGAGCACCGTCTCCGCCGGGATGCCACCTGGCGCGGGGCCCATGCCGCCACTCCTCGGTGGCACCGCGCTCGGATGGGGCCAGTACTCCGGCCAGTATCCTCAACAGCAACACGGCAAACCTTACAGGCCGTGGGGCGCCGAATTGGCCTATTGAGACATCCTCTATCCTTAGTTCCTCCAAATTTTTCCCACAACCTTTTCCGCCCATCCCTTCGAAGCCTCACCTTTGAAAAAATCGAACCGTGCCTAGACAACCTCGTTTCCTCGTTTAAGGGTACGAAGATCCCCATTCGAGAGTTACTCTCGAGAGCGATGCTCTCGGACAGTAACAGCTCTCCAAAAGCAGTGTCCATTTTTTGCGAGAGCAACTCGCGACAGTTTCACTCTCGAATGGCGAATTTCACCTTTACGCACGTTCCTCGCCCCAGTTTCTTCCCCAATTTCTTCCCTCCTCTGGAGCACTCTTCTTTTCTACGTAGTGTAATATACGGTACGTTACGTACGATAGTCATGCGAGTACCTAATAACTATCCTAAAAAGATATTATTTATATATTCGATGCGATGCGACTCGTCGATGATTGTTGCCGACCGAGCGATCGCGATTGTACAATTTGTGTATATATATATATATATATGCTTACTTGTATACTACCTGATCTAAAACGTGTTTCTATCTATTGTAAATAACCGAAACGCGACCGAGATCGTTTGTACTTACTTCTATTTTTCTATTTTTCTCTTTATACATATATATATGTATGTATGTATAAGTTTCTTTTGGTAACAGACGCGATGACGTGACTCGCTTGTGATAATGATCAAATCCAAAAAAAAAAAAAAGAAAAGAAAAGAACGTCGATCGAACGCGTGATCCAACAAGTGCCATTAAATATCGTGCCGCGCCGCCACGAGTCCTGCGCGAGAACACGCTCAAAGATTTTTGCAATAAAGTGAGAATAACGTAACAATGCCTGTGACGTGTTCCTTGCATCCTTTTCGCAACAAGCGTGCTCTAAAGCCGAGTAAGAACCGACGAATGTTTAGAGAGATTTTTCATTCAGTCTGTTTCATTCGGCAATTCCGTTCGCCTCTGTAATTCCCTCTGTAATCTCTGCGAATTTTCAGCGAAACAGGAGAAAAAAAAAAAAAAAAAAAAGAAAAAACGCCTGCAAAATTGCAAATTCATTGCGACTAGGCGTGCATTCTTATGCAAAGATTCGCTTTGAAAGCTCGGCCAGACGCTTGACCGCAACAGAGAAACAAAAGTAAGCGTCCCGGGGTGTTCCCCAGTTCGACTAGCGGGATGCGAACCAGTTCTGCCGCTCGTTAAACCTTTCGTAGAAGAATACGTTGGCAAGAAACGGGGGAAACTCGCGGCGCTCGTTACGCGATCGATGATGATAATTAGCCACTACCGGTTTCCTTTTTTTTTTTTCTTTCTTTTTTTCTTTTGCGAACGTTCAAAATCCACGGACAGCAGCAAACCTAATTGTCAAAGAGGAAGAATAGTGCGTGGGCACGTGGCCATTGTTCGAGGCACCAACCCCCCCGTTCCGAATATCACCGTGCCTCTCTCCGTCCTTTGTCTCCTCCCCCTTCTTTTCTTCCAGACTTTCCAATTGTTTCAAACTTTTCAATTGTTTTCTATATAGAACGTTTCGCTGTTCCGTCGTGTTCTGCGTATGAGAAACTTGCCCGATCCGGTGGCGATCGTAATACGGTAATGCCCACTTAAGCGTCCACTTGGACACTAGCGTTATCCTGTCACTTTCGTCAATATTTACGTATAGCTACTGGCGTGTATAGCCACGTTAAAATACAGGTGGTAAGCAAGTAAGTACATAGAACGTGCCAGGAGGGTGGACGATGACGTTGTCGCCAGCGAACAGAAGTTTCCTTCGATCGAAAATTCTTAACGAACACCAATGACCGTCGGCAAAAACTATACTTTATTTACGACATATTCGCCATTATCCATTAAAAAGTCACAGCCTCGTCGGACATACAATAAAATATCGATACTCGTATTATTCGTGTCTATGTACATACGTACGTACATACATACATGCATACATACATACATCCGCACATGTCTTACAACTATGTACATATTTCACACGTGCTCGCGTAAATACAACACGTACACAACGCGTACAAATGTTATACGAAAAAGAAAATGGTGGTCGTTGTAACGTCTCGCGTTTTGCGGCAAAGAAAAAAAAAAAAAAAAAAAAAAAAAAGAACAGCCTGCCTGCGAAAGAAATTATAATATAGTTCGATAACACGGCTGTAACACGTTTCTTAACGAAAATCGTGCAGTTGGTAGTAATTGTAAAAATAATACTGCAAGTAGAATAGAAGAGCGGCTTTAGTTTCGCGCGTGCTCGTTCTGTCGATCGGTCGACACCGTGCAACCAACACTCTATCGCGTCTAAATTGTGCAAGTTTAACTCGTACCACGTAAAAGAATATCTCCGCGAGTATACACCGTAACGAGGAAACGTTACGTCCCTACAAATACCAATTTCGACAACGGGAGATCTTTAAATCGCGCACCGTCGACGAGTTCGGCTAAACTATTTACATACATGTTTCTCGCAATCGAGTCGACGTGAGATCGAATCGACAAACCACGATACATCTACAACGTACGATTTCATTTACTTCGACGCAAATCGTTGAAAATCTTTCTTCTTCGATTTCTTTTCGGGCTAATAGGGCTCGCCCTAAATTAAGTACATACGCCTGTTGGACGGTTCGTTGCATCCTGACAAAACTGTGTGTAACGTAACGTATTTATCTTTCATTCTTATCGATCGACGTGGTCGAACTTTCTGTCAAAATTTAGCTCGACAAAATAATCGAACGTGTGCCCACCTTACGAAAGGGGATAGATATTTACGTTCTTTTTTTCCCTTTTTTTTTTTTTTGCTAATCTTCCCGAATAGACTCTTCGATGTCTCGTCCCGCTCATCTCGCGTTCAACAGATACATATTTCGGTTCGAAGCGACGACGACGACGAATCTCGTCACACTCCCATCACCGTCGCGGAGAAAGACGGGAATAATACTCGTGGCGATGAATCTCCATGAAACTTGTCGAGTTCAGTCGTTAGATCATCATCTCGTTCTCAATGTTCTCGTTCCGCTGGTTCTCCTCGTACTCGTCGCAGTAACAGCACATGGAGACGCCGTCCTCGGAGTTGTCGGCAACGTACGTCGTGAACGTGTCGATGCTCTTCGCGTCCAGCGACGGCAGGGACCACGAGAGCGACTCCGTCTCCAACTCCGGCACGTTCGAATGCCAGGATGTCAAGTTCCGTGACTTTTTCACCTTGCGGCTTCTCGTCGACAGTTTCTTGATGGCCTGCGAAATTGACGAGCAAACAGCTTATTTTACGACGACACTTTGTTCGTTTCTTTCTCTTTATCATTATTTATTTATTTTTTTTCTATACCAATCGAGTCGTTACCACAGCACGCGGGGAGAAGCTCGAAAAGATGTTCAAATTTTATTCGTTTTCTTAATTTTAACGGTGGTAGACATAGACGTCTCTTAGAAGTATACGTTCGTGTCAGTGGGGTTGCAGCGAGAGGCACAGGAATCAATGTTGAGCAAGGTCAGAATTACGCCAACGAAAAAAATTGTACAGTCCCGCGACGTGTGAAAAAAAAATCGACTGTAAAATTAATTCGAGGCTCGACTCGGTTCGTACGTGTGCGAAGAAATTTCGTAAAGTGCAGGAAGAAGGGGTCGGGTGGGTGGTAATCGCCTCGAATCGACGAAATTAAATTCAGATTCGGATCGAAACTACTAGCAGGAACAAGCCAATGGCGAGGTTAACGATGCGAAACGCCTGGCTGAAGAAATTAGGTCGACCGATGCACCAGAAACGTGTACGTGAATTGTACGTGCATTGTACGTGCATGTACGTACGTGTGCGTGCATGTGTGCATGGGCGCGTGAGTGCAACAGCGAGTCGAAAGGGATAATTGTCACGTCGTCTTACCCTAAGGAGCCTGCGACCGGACTTGCTCAGCAATTTTCTCAACATATCGACGCCGAGCCTTCGACGGTGTCCCGAGGATGTCCGAATTTTGAACGGGATTGAACGGGACACGGTGGCTGACGAGATTGATTTTTGACCGTTGTACGAATCGTCTCTCTCCAGTTCGATGCGCACGCCTCGGCGTCACGCGACCAAATACCGCTCCGTGCCGCCACACCGTCCTATTTATTACCTCGGCTGGCCCGATCTTATCGTACCACGCCGTACGAACTACCCTGTCCCCACTCGACCGTTCACCGTCTAAAGTATTTACATGCTGCATGCTTTACTTTCGAGTATTATAGACTCACGTTTGCACAGAGAGAGAGAGAGAGAAAGAGAGAAAAAGAGAGTAGACATTATCAACGAACCGAAGAAGGGTTAGGTTTACCAAGTTGTGTACTCGCGTACTTACTGTTGCTGCTGATCCATTGTCTCGTGCGCGCTCAATCCTCCCTTACCTCAGGTATAAATTTCATTTCGAAGGCATCACTTCTTCCTTCTCGATCGTGAAACAGAGATTTCGGCCGCAGTTTTCCTACTTTCCTTCTCCTTCCTCTCCATTCGTGAACGAAAACCGAATTTGAAAGATCGAGTCAATTTGAACGACAGGAGCACGTATTGTTCCTTTTATTTTTCAACTTTAGAATCGCTACCGGTGGTCGCGTGAGCGCGATATGCACATCGATCGAGGCACGAAGATGATAAACTCGCGGAGCTAACAGAGCCAGGCGGAGAAGAAAGAGAAGAAATGAAAGGGGGAGGAGGGAGGGAAAAGGAGATGCTCGTTGGAAAGTTGAAGGGTGGCAGAGGCGCGTGGCACGGTCGCGCGTACGCATGCGCGTACGCGAAACTAGACGCGATACGTACACGTAGCGTGGATACGCACGTGCGCGCGACGTAGACGTAACGCGTGTGAGCGGAGTTGTTCTCACGCGGCGGCACGAGGCTACCATCTCCCCAGTGCGTGTCGCCACGTGCCAGCTCGATGCACCCACAGAAAGCTCATAATTGTCATAACATTCGAGCTACGTTCGCTCGAGGAAACGCCAATATCGGCGTTACATTCGATCTACGACAATAATAATAAGCAGCAGTAAGTACTGGTAGCAAATAATAGAGGTTATGTACCCTCCTTTTTTTGTCTTTTTTTTTTGTGAAATCTCGAAACATTCGGTTCGTAACTTCTAGGATAGATAGTGCTCGCCGAAACATTCTAATAAACGTGGGTGTAGAAATTAATAGTTTCGAAGTTGTAAACGATTTTTTGCTTCATAGAAGCTATGTGATTACATACTTTTCATTTCGTAGTCAACAGTCTTGCTCGCTTTCGATCACGAGCAGTGTCTTAATATCTTTACGATCGTTACGAAGAAGATCCTCTTGAAATGAAAAAGGAGAGACGAATTGAACGATCCTAAGATAGCTTCGCACGAACGACGTCACAATGCACCACTCCGATTGCGTGTGACGTCAACAAGACTACCTGCATCTTACGCTGCCCTAGAACTAGTTTACTATCCTTGTCTGCACATGCCGTGCATATATTATACATACATGCACGTGTAGAAATCCCCATGTACAATGCTAGATGAAAGTAACGAGACGATCAAATAGAAGAAAAAGACTTGACGTAAGGACATATGACGCACCTCTTTTCCCCCTCGTTCCCACCCGGCAGTTTTTAATCTTCGTACATTCGAACCAAACGAAGTAACCGAATCATCGTGGCACGTGCCAAATACGCGTGTATTTCCGATTTTTTCTAAAGTGTCTAATTGTCACTCGCTAGTTAGTTTTTCTGCTTCAACATTAAGATATATCGACGTTCGTAAAAAAAAAGAAAAACAAAAAAAAAAGAGAAAACTGGCAGTATCTGTGGACGAACAAACGTTTTTTAAACATTCTCAAATTTTTATATAAAGATAATATTCTCTGTACGATTCACATTCACCTACAGATCTTGCGTCGAGGACGGCGGGTAGCCTAGTTTAAAAAATAGAAATAAAAATAAATAAATGAAAAATAAAAATAAAAGAAAAAAAAGAATGTAATAATTTTAATGGGAAACAATTGCCGATAGCGATAGAGTAACGAGCGACGCGTGCCAGGGTCACGTGTCCCCTCCCCCCTAGATGCTCGCTCAAACATTATACGCGATATGGTGCGCGCAAAATAAGTCTCACCTAATTGCGACGGCTGTTCCATTAGAGATTAAACTTCAAACGAGACTCGGTCAGATTCGTTCGGTTAATTAAGACGGTTCACCCAAGTATAACACCATCTTTGTACTCCCTCTCCGCTGCCCCCTACCTCTAGGTCCGCGGAGGGAGAAGCCACGAGACACCGTACATGCAACCGCATGTGTACCCCCACTTTGCCTTCTCCGTCCTCCCGAAAATCATCAATAATTGTAATCGACACGTCCGGGAGCAAAGTCTCCTTGTTCGAGAAACTGCATCGACGGACAATAGACGCTGCAAAAACTGGTTTTATTCGTTCAACGAGAAACAACGTCGGCAGAAATGAACAGTTTAACTTCGACGCGTTGCACATCGTTACACGATCAAATCTGAGAGGAACAGTCTCGGTCTTATGGACTCGTTCTTTTCACTTGTCACGATTATTTATGAAATTCCGATATTCGTTCACGCGCCGTTTCGTGATAAAACAAGAGTCGTATCATTTTATATTTTATGTAATTATTTTACGTACAATGTATTATTGTATATTTTATATTTTATGTACAATGTATTATTTTATATTTTATATTTTGATAAATCAGCGAAAATAACACCAAACCTCAAAAATTATTCTTTACTAACAGTACTTGGATTGGTACAAAGATGAATATATCCGTGATGTGCAATTTACACGCACCTCTACTAACGTAATTGTCTGTAAGAGTATAATTATATAACATACGGATACAAGAAAAATCAGAGAAAGGAAACAGAAGAAAGAAAGAAGAAACTGCGTTGATCTTCTGGAAGAATTTCAAGATCTTTCTAAGGAGAATCTTTTCGATTCTCACACGTGTCGTTTTCCATCGATTCCAACGTTAAAATATCGAATACCGATTGACCGCAATTAGACAACACACAAAAACCGAAATTACAGAAATAGCCAGAATACGTGTATGTTTTATTCACTTCTTACATTCTACGTAGAAAAAGAATTCAATGGGAGATTCAAAGATGATCACATTGGTTAGTCCATAAATTATTTACATAATACGATGGGAAATCAAACAGACCCATCATTTTCTTCAGATACAGAGATACATTTATCATGATCTATGTGATATATTACTGCAATTGAACGTGACATTATTGATGATAACGTCAAGTAACAAACGTTCAAGAGGCAAGAAGAGGTTCGTGCAACTTGTCCGCGTCGTACGGTATATTACTCTTATTTCCGGGTAGCAACATCGGCACTGTCTTCGCGCGAAGTTCGTACGGGAAGTAATCGTGGCAAAAGTTGTAAAAATCGTTCCGAGTACGGATAATGCCGAGCCGCGCCATTTCTTTCATTAACGCGTGCAACTCGGCCTTGTAATTCGAGTACGATTTACGTTTGACAATCAACGTTGTTACGTTCGACAACTGATGCACAAACTTCTCGGAGGCTACTCTCGTTTCCAGCTTGAATCTCGGTTCCATACACTTCCACAAGTATTTGTAAAGACGATCGGTAATCCAGTATTGTGGACGGGGGAGCCGAGGTGCCCGGTACGGTTTCCCATTTACCAGAAATGCCTTGTGAATTTGTCTCGTCGAACGTTGCTTTTGCAGTTTCCTACCTTCCTCGACCTTCTCTATTTTTCCTGCCTCTAACGACGACTTTTTTTCGTTCTTTTGCTTGTCGTTTATGCGGGCTATTTCTCGTTTCTTCAGCCTCTCCAGTTCTCGTTTGATCCCATTTACTTTATCTTTATCGCGAAAAACCTGCGACACTGGTAACATTTCATCCGATCTCAAAAAATCCCTGATACTCTTCTGCCCTTTGGAGATGTTGGTATTTTGCGAAGTAGACGTTCCAACCACCGTTGGCATTGACTGTGCAGAACCAGTCGAGATTCTCTCCTTTGAAGGAGAACGTAACGGCAATGGCGAGGCTTGCAATGAATTTTCTTGTACTTTAGCAGTGTCTTCTTGATTATCAATTATATTCTCGAATGGATTTTTGTCTGCACTCTTACGGTAGTTTGCCAGCAGTCTTGTCTTCGGTTTCAATATTATATCGTATTCGCTGTCAGTGCTGTCATTGCTTTCATCGCTTTTGGTACTATTATGTACGGATGGATTATTATTTTCAAATATTATGGTCTGTGCTTTTGGTGTTCGCGAATGCGAAACGTCATTTTTACTTTCAGACGTTAATTCGGACTGATTTGCCACCGCTTCATTAGGAGTCGAGGCTTTACTTGCAGCAGGCATCGAATCGTTTCTTTCAATTTGTTGCTCATTATCGGAGACTGTTTTAGATTTTCCCTTCAAAGAAAATTCTAACTCACTCTTTTTCAACACGTCGACAAACGCATTATTCCGACTCTTGTAATTTCTCCTGAAAATATCAGGCCTTGATTTTAAAATATCATTGCTGCTTTGACTGTGATCCAAACTTCGTTCCTCTACTCTATTCGACTGTTGCGCATTGGGGTTTGTTTTGCTAGTTGATGCAGAACTTCTCCGTCTTTGTGAACTTTGTCTAGTCTTTTCTGCAACTTCCAATTTAGATGACTCAGAATCGTTAAGAGCATTCAAAAAGATATTATCTTTGCTTTTCTTTTCTTTCAGAAGCAGAGGATGTTTTCTTTTCTTGACTATGGATCCTTCTTCAGAGTCTGATGTCTGCACATTCCTCAAAGAATCTAGCAAAATAATCTAGCATTATAATCAGTAACAAGTAGTTTGAAACCCTACACCTCATAAATTAAGAAAACGTACCCCTTTCTATGACATGGTTGTTTATTTTTGAGGAATTTGAGGAGGTCTCCAGTACCTTCCACCAATTGTCCATAGACGAGCTTGTTTCCATTTGCGAATCAGAATTTAAATAACGGCTGGTCTGATTCAAAACGTTTGAATTTGTTGACAGCCTCGTCAATGTGTTATCCTCCAAATTTTTCCACCAATGTGAATGTTCTGAAACATAAATATGACAACTTGCGTGAATAACCTAACCTATACGAAAGTTATCAAACACGTACGTACCATCATCAAAACTATCCCAATTCGAATTTAAAATAGCAGAACTGTGTCTAGACTGGCGTTTAATTGAACTTCTTCGTTTACTCATTTTTAATTAACAACTTTCACTAACAAAATAGTTTCACAAGAACTGTGATTTTCCGTGTCACGATACGGCTTCGATTCTTTATTTAACTTGTCTACTTTTAAAACTCTTAAAAGACTATTATTATACATACTAATTTCAGTAAATTTCAAACAACAAAACAAACAATAACTATTCATCACAAGCATCTAATTGTCATTACATCTGCGAACCGACGCAACCTATATTACCGACACTATCTTCGAACCGTTGAATGGAAATTTCAATTATAGAATAGAATATAATTATATAATTTTAATAATTTATTTTATAATTATATAAGTATAGAATATAAATGAAACATAAGAGAAAAGCTAATTTTCACGAAATTCATTTCGCTAAATCAGTTTCTTTTTGCAAATAAAAATTTCTCTGTTTTACGGGGTAAGAAACACTAGCGCCGCGTTGTGGCAGAACGGTGGAACTAAACGCTCTCTAACCATGTAAGAAGAATAATTAATTTCAATTTTAATACGCCAATAATATTTACATTCCACGAGCGCATATTTCAATGATAATGCTATAAATTACGTTCACAAATAAATTTGAATCTGATATTCACTATAGTTTGCGAGAAATTAAGCACTCACTATTCGCACTGTTGATGTAAGCGTGATTGAAAAATTTTTTTATAAACGTAAACAATACTTAACAATATGTAAACAGAATATAGAACGGAAGGTAAGGGTCTAAAACTGAAGACATAACCGTAACAGTTCACAAATGATTCCTCTTAATTAGTTTCTTCTCGTAATTAGTGCAAAAAAATCTCACCTGTCACATTTTCGATGCTACGGTGGCGCCATCTATTGCCAATCCAGTGGTACTAAAAACAGTTATTGCTGCATTTTAGTTCCATTGTTCTACCACAACGCGGCGCTAGTGTTTCTTACCCCGTAAAACAGAAAAATTTTCATTTGCGAAAAAACCTAATTTAGCGAAATGAATTGTGAACTTTTGTGATTGTATTACCCTAATTAGACCCTCAGCTTTCTTTTTATACTCCATTTGACCCGTAAAATGCAGAAATAAGTATTTATATTATTAATTAATACTACCGAATTGCCGCTAGATGGCGCCACCATGTCCATTTTGTGGCAGTTCGCACTAATTACGAGAAAAATCTAATTAAGAGGAATAATTTGCAAACTTTTTTATATGCTTCCTTAAAATTAAGCTCCCCGCTTTCTTTCTATGTGTGTTTTGTCCTAGAGAAACGTGTGTGTAAAAAGTTGAACTTTTTTTTTCCAATAGATCAAAGGATGTCCTTGTCGCACACTATTGCTTTCCTTGTCTAGCGTCATTAGACAAGGAGGGCACTAGCGTACGACAAGGACAGACATATTCGCGCAGTAGACAGAGAGCGATAGTGTGCAACAAGGACAGATACGTTTGCGCGCTAGTCGAGAAAGGCAATAGCATGCGACAAAGAGAAAGATAGAAATTAGTTTCCCAGTTATATTAGTTCCACGCTGCACAAATAATTAAATCCAGAATATATAGAATAGCATTTTATATTCTTTTATTATATTTTTTGAAATTGTGTTCAAGTATAGCGATAATGTTACAAATATAAGTAATCGTATGATAATTATCGTTAATACACTCATCTCACATTCATAGTTATCATTGATCAAACAGATGTAAATAACGGAAATTTGTTCATTGACAATGTCTGACATAATAATCAATGTGATAATCTGATATTTTCAATTTTTTTATGGTTTTATTTTTATAACTGAACATGTAAAATAATAATAAAATTCATTCTTCAACATCTTAGTTGTTTCTTCAGTAGAGTAAAGTTCATGTATACTTGTCGCAATCGCGAAATATATAATGATAAAATCGCATGACAATTGATATAAAATATTAATGTAATGACACTTTTCATAAATAGTAATATCAGAGACCGTATTTATAATACATAGATAAATAAAACAGATACTTGTGTACGATCAGCCTTAGATAAATTTTTTAATTTGCTAAATATTTATTTAGCTTTTGTAGACGAACGAGATCTAAGATTTTTCTTAGTTGCCTGGTCGACTTCTGGCAAATCATCATCCTCAGACATGGCGGACTTTCTTCCTAAATGAAAGTGAATTTCATACTTGAAACTGATACTTTTCAGTTAATAACGCAAAAATTTCTCTTACCTTCTTTCTTCTTTGATTTTTGTTTTGATTTTACCACCGTTTGTACGTGAACTACATTTTCACGGGCGCGTTTCATTTGCCTCGAAACAAATATGTAAGATAGATAGATTTGGAAGATGATAATGTAGGATAAAGCTGTAAATCGTATAACTGGAATATTGAAATTGCCAGTCGCAAAATCGAATACACTTTCGACTTGGCTCAAACCATATAGAAACACTAATGCTGCAATAGCCACTGTCGCAACGCGTACAGAAACGTACACTGAATTAGCAACGAGGAACGCCACTATAACAAAATAATGTCAGGATATTACAAAAGAGGATGACATTATATAAAATGCCATACTTGATGAAATTGTACTCACTTTTTGTCATCTTTTCCTTTTTACCAATAAAATGTACAAGTCTAGCTCCATGAAGCATAGCGTCTCCTATGTAATGTGGAACTAACAATAAGATTCCTGCTTGCTGAAAACTGAAAATAACAAAATATTACGATATAACGTAACGTTGTATTTGTACTATGTCAACAAAATACTATGTCAGTAAAATATGTCATACTTGAAAATATAAGCCGCAAGTGTGGAAAGAAATCCAAGAGTTGCTTGCACAACTCGAGGAGCAATATCTTCTTTTTTCACTCGCTGAAAATACAGTTCAGGATAACAATGCAGCCAATAAGCAAGCTGACAAATAAAAAACAATTTTGACGAAAAGGACATTGGCATGGGATATTCCTTCCACAACAACGTTATGTTCAACAACAAATCTTCTCTGAAACAATTGTAAATTCAATTACATGAAAACTTATTACGCTCATACTCCATATAACAAACCTGATAATTATGTCTATGCCCCATATAATAGACAATATGTAAAATAAAACGAGTTGACTAGATTCGTTGAATTTGGCAAGTTTCACTTTGCTAAGATGCAATCGCTTTGAAACTTTCTGAAAAAAAAAACAAAAAGAAGGGGGAATACAAATATTAATACGATGCTTTCATTAAAACGTATGCTATAAAAGAAGTTGTAGAACTCTTTAATGTGTCTTACGTCAAAGATGTAATCTTGAAACACAGCGTGCATTACAATTGTTATTAACAGAGAGAAAAATACAGCACATGCATCTTTCCAACCAGTGGTGTACTTCATTGGCGCAGCTGGATCTCCAACATCTGAAGTTACATTGTGATGGAGAGCAATAAACGTATATGCCCATGGTGATGTTGTCTGAAAAAATAATTTATAATTAATAACAGCATACAAACGAACAAGAAATTACGTTAATACGACTTTGCTTGAGCTCGATTTATCTTATAAATATTTGTGTCGATTAGCAAGTAAAAAGCAATGGCAGATAACATATGGTCATCATGCCAATGATAAGCAAAATTAATATTAGTCCTTTGAACATGAGCTTCGAACGAAACAGCCCAGAAAGTAAAGAAAATCTATCAAAGGTACGTATACGTTAAACAAGAATGTCATTGACACTGAAGAAACTGAAAACTCACTTGCACCATCAAACCTGTCACAAAGATCATCGCCACGCAAGAAACAATATCTCCGTGATTTTGGATGATGAATTCATGACTGAATATAGGGAGATTTTTGTTCGAATTCTTGCGACCTTTCACCGCGACCATTTTCTGCAATCGAGAGCAACCAATTCCTCCGGTCAGACGCGTCAATAACTCGCAGCAACCACCGTCAAACAATCCAACGTGTACTCAATTACGCCAGTATGCCAGCAACGGGATAACCTACACACTTGCAACATACGCCGGAAAATCAGTGCATCGAAGCATACGGCCAACACTGAGCAGTGTGGCGTTTCTGTCTTTACTTGTTGGCACCACGTAAATCAGAGTACAGTCGAAACGACTTGACAAATTAATTAACTCTTTGTGCACGTATTTCTCGCGTTTTCGTAATATTACTTAAGAAATTAAGAGAACTTTTCTAAATAGATCGTGGGGATCGTCTCAGTTTATAATACTTTGTGCATCGTTATATGGATGTTCTATTGTTCGCAAGTGCGACGATGATTGTAATCATAACGGCGGCAAATTCAAATTCAAATGGGATTGCACGAAATTACACACGCGCGTGCATGAAAAATTGATCATACGACAGAAAAAGTTTGTAAGATACACTTTATTAATAGTATTAGGTACATTTTTAATGGTCACAATATTCTTATGCACATTCGTATGTGTATTTATTGTTAAAATTATGCAATTACCACATGTATTTCGTGAAACTTGAAATATCTATCAATAAATAAATACGCTAATAGTTACGCGATAGTAGATAAAGAGAAAATACCTATTTAACAATTCAATATCGGAATAAAATAATTTCTAGAGTTCATATATATTATGCCAAAGATAAACTATAAAATTCATTGATCAACAATGAGTCGAAAATATAGCTTTGTGTAATTGTAGAAATAATACTCTTTCAACATTATATTATCTCATTATATTATTATTAAGTAGTCGTTAGTGGTATGATATCAATGCTTGTGTCTTTGTACATTATATGTTTGTAATCATGTTAGCATGATTGGTAGATGGAGCAAATGATCTGTCCGCTCTGATGCACTTAAATGAACACACATGATATACAATAAAGTTTGGAATTCACACGTAAAGTTATACAAAATACATCTTGTGTCTATGCATGTACGTTTTATTTTTATACACAAAAGCGGACCTACGCGCATGTTTCATTATCATCATCTTTTCCCGTTTCTCTTTCTTATCATAAATTTTTACAATTTCCTTTTACATCTGATGATACTTTTTTGATTATTTGCCCCTTGTTTTAATAAACGTTCAAATTTAAGTGCAGTTTATGTTCCTTTCCCCGTTGATTAGGCCACAATAAATTTATAGCTTTTTAACAGTCGTACGTAATATGCGAAGGCAATATAAGGAGGATATATTTTCGAAGATCCCTTTGAGAGGGATATCTTCACAGATAAAATTCCGTTTACATTGAACAATATTCTTCTTTTTATACGTTTGTCAACAATATCTATTGTCTTAGTATTTTGCTAAATCATTTGCATATATAACAACAATTTTAATTAAACAACGTGCATAATCCTCTCTGATATATACACGTAATTTTGTTGTATTAATCTAGTTTAGGATTTAGTGACAAATATATGTACATTACATTGTACTTTGCACGTATTATTTTATTTTATATTTGTGAGAAGTTGTTCTGCATCTCAAATAAATATTTTATTGACTTGTGTGAACTGAATTTACATTTCAAGAACGATAATCAGAATTGTAAATATTTTTTAACATTGTTGATCAAAGCACAACTTGTATTTTATCGTCGCATGGACGTGTCAGTCAGTTCCTTCAAAATATTCTTCACGCGTTTCTCAGATGCAAAACTTTATCAAGTTTTCAAAAATAAACAAACTAGAAAAATACCATGATCGTTTGTATTGAAACAACTTTCTTGAGTTTAATATTTCATAGGAAAATGTTCTACGTTCGAAGAAATACAATCTCGAATTTAATATCTGTACGATTTGTCGAGATGAATACATGATAATATACGAGTACAATAATAATACAAATTAAATCTAAATATTCCTGTGGTCACAAGCCTTAAATCTTAGCAAAACCTTTTAACGTTATATGCAACCAGTAAGACTTAGGTCTTTAGTTTGTCCTAAGTATCGCTTGTCGTTGCAAATTATGTTTTGAGGTAGACAAGTATATTCTTCGAATAGCTTTTTATAGCTATAGATAAAGCTAAACCAAATGATAAGTTTCCATTAAAAGAAGATGCCACATTATGTTTAATTTTATATCTTAATAGACCACAAATATAGCCTAGTAAATTTACTCGCAAAATTGTAAAGTAGCCATGAAAGCTGTAATTCGATTCTTAGTTCATGTTGCAACCAAAAGTTTGGCAATGGGTAGAATACAAATACCCTCTAGAAGCGTTGCCATTCTAATAAATTTTTGTTAAAGCTATAAGAAAAAATGAAGTATTAAAATTGTCATGCACTTTTAAGATTTAATGCAATTGCAATATAATTATTGTGAGTGGTATCAAGATTTTAGATAGGTGAGGACAATAAATCCGATGCCAAATGTGTTGACAATGTTCATAAAATCTAGGACTGAAAGCTATTTTACTCGAATATCTCGTATTGAGAAATTAACATCGTTAATTGTATTCATTTTTATCATCATATTCGTATATAATTGTTATCTTGAATGCTCATCTTGATTATGTCATAACATTTAAACGCTCTGTTGTACATCACGTTAACATTTATATTTGTTCTATCTTCAGGTATATTTGTATGTATACACGCACACACGCGCGTATCAATGGCAATGGCAATGACAATAAATATTTAATACATCCAATATAAGAATGTAATTTTTAACTATTATTAATGAAAATGCCCGTTAAGATGTCTTACTACCTGGTTCATTTTCTTATATTACTAAGATATAGCTTACCTTCGTGTTTCAGGTACTATCTTTGTACCTCCTACTTCTTGCTTAACTTTAAGCCGCAATCAAAATATATAAATTATTTTTTTTAAACAAAAATATTAATCTGTACTCTGGATCATGGCAATAATATGCAATAATTTACTATTTATTAGGATAGTTCACATCGAGGAGATTAAAAGTATTAGCGCGCATTTCTCGTTATCGAGTAACCGAATGTACAAACGATATGGTTATGTGTACACGTACACATTGCAATTTCGTGCCAATTGTCAAAATAGTTGACCTATACTAAATCTCGCAAAATATTAAATTCTACGATTGTGTATCTATAGTTCCACCTTTTCTTTTTCTCTTATACATCAATGGAACATAGTTATCATAATGCCATACAATACTGTTTAACAAAATCTACAATAGTGCATATTTAGGGAACATTACCTTTCACCGTGTGCATTTAATTTACACAAGAGGATCGTTATCAAGATCCATTTCTTCTACCGTGATATAAAGTCCTTCTTCTTCATACGTAGATTCGTGTTTTGCTAAAACTTTCAGTAATGGCCGCAATTTCATCCACCATTGATATGTAGGAATGCGATGTCTGAAAATTTTTGCGAACACATTATATATATATTAGTAGAAATTTACGATGAAAATTATTCAACATTAATGTATTGCTGTTATTTACTCGAAATCCGTAACTGGAAGAAGTTCTGTAAACGGTGTAAATCTGTACTGCCTTCGCACAATACCAATCATAACAGCGCTATCGGCATCCATCGTTGTTATCTTATTATCGGCATTTGTATACTTCTTTAATTGATCGCTAAACCACTCAACTGCTTTAGAGCCCATTTTTGTGCCCAAATTACGATCAAATGGAGTGGGTGAACCACCTTGCTGCATGTGACCTACAAGAAATTTTGTAACTTAGGATCTAAAGGATCTATAAATCTAGGATAACTAAAGGATAACTAAAGTTTGTTTAGAGTGTAAAATAATATCACGTACCAATAATATTCATTCTACAGCTGAACAGACCCTTTCCCTCTTCGCTGAAGAGTCTCTGCATAAAATCTGTACTATAATTCAAATTAGCATTTTCATTTCTTAAAATGAGACCTCTTTGTACACCTTCAGACATTTTTGCTGCCATTGCAATGACATCTTGATTTAAGTCTTTAATATTGAACTTCTCTTCGAAAATGTATGCTGCATCAGCACCTCCAGCCAATCCAGCGACTGTAGCTAAATAACCGCAATATCCACCCATAGTTTCAATAATAAATACTCGGCGTTTTGTGCCTTGTGCCGACTGACGAATGCGATCACAAATCTAGGAATAATACAAATACACCTGACTAATTTTCTACCAGTGGATTTATCATAAAATAATATGTATAACATACAAAATCCTACCTCTGTAATTTCATTTAAAGCAGTGTCACAACCTAATGAAAACTCGGTTCCAGGAACATTATTGCTGATAGTCGCCGGAATCATAGCAATAGGAATCCGAAATTCTTCAAATTTGTCCCTAGCTTTGAAAAAGGTAAGTCCTGTTTGATAGCCCTTTTTGAAAAACAGCAACAATATGTTATGATAGTGAACAAGGTTGTAAAAAAAAAGTATGAATACTTTAATCTCACAGAAATCGCGATTTTGATTAAATGATACGAAATTTGATTAAAAATATGTTTAAAAAGACTGAATCTTTGCTTACGTAATAAATCTGTACATATTTCTTACGTATTTATATAATTTTTATGCAAAATTAGTACTACGACTAATAATTCGACTCATAACCGAGATTTCCATAGGATTACCTATACGTTATGGATCTCCATAAGATAAAGAACCCTTACCTCGAAACCTCCTATGATAAGTAGAGCTTGAATTCCATATTCTTTAAGTTTCTGAGCAATTTGAGGCAATTGCTCGTCTGTGGGTGGAGCACGTTTAGTTCCTAAATAGGCACCACCTTGTGCTACCCAACCAGTGACAGAAGGCCAATCCATTAATTTGAATTTTCCAGCCATAAGGCCCAGTACTCCATCACAGATTCCATAAACCTAAAACCTTGTAACATAAGACCCTGCGTCACTACAAAAGTACGTGCTAATTTTGAAACCTTACCTTGTCGCCTCGATAAATACAATTCCTGACGAAAGAACGTACTGCAGCATTCATACCGCAAGAAGGTGAACCAATATGCATTACAGCTAATGTATAGTGGTCCTGTAACAAAATTTAGTGTTAATATCGTGGGAGAATTTTACATTAATTCATGCGGCGTGCACATAGAAAACAAATGCATTCTGCAATGTAATGTAATGTTTGAGATCGAGAGTGTTACAATGCTTATGCTTTCTTTCATCCTAGCAGAAACATTTATTACAGTTATTTGTTGATATTTATTTAGTAAAAAAAAAAAAGAAACAAAACAAAAAAATACAGGCAGAGAGAAACCAAAAATATCATCTAGATTTAGAAATTAGTTAACTCACTTGTCCACATAAAGTGAATTGCTAATATAGAAGGAATAGAGAATGTTAGAATGACTATTTTATGAGGCATTGAAATTTAATACTCAGCAACAGAGTGTACACTTATACTCTCTTTTTTTAATATAGATTTACCTTTGTTAATGTGGGGCCATTAATTTCCTGAAGCAGTATTAAATAAAAGATATAATAAAGGCAAATCTCCACTTTTTATATATTTTAGATACCAGAACTAAAAACCTTCTGATATTCTACATGTTATTTATATGCATTCTCCACACGTTTTTATTACATATTTATTCAACTGATTTAAAATTTAGTACTTTCATAATATTATGTTAAAAAATTTGAGAGAAGGCTTCAAGTTCGTATTAATTATTATATTATAGATAACTGCAATGTACCTTACCTTATTGGGGTCGTGATCTACAGGTGCTTTTAGACGGGTTAACATTTTGTATGTTTCCAAATTACGGGCAAATCCTCTGAAAGTATTTAATAATTAAAGTATGATTAAAATATTATCCTAATACATAATACAGATTAAAAATCTTAACATCTTAACATACTTTCCACGAAGTTGAACAGCTAAATCCCAATTTCTATCAGCCATAGCTTGAGCTACAGCTTTAGTACGACGAACGCATTCCATTAGAGGTAATCTAACAGCTTGATTGCCATCCAGTGTAACGACACATGCTTCAGTGTCTGGTTTTGCTTCCATCAATGCCATTACAGCTTCTGCTCCCATTCGACAACCCTATAAGTTATCACTAAATTAATTAAATACTTTTATTTCTAATGTGATATCAGAAAAAAAACATCTCATGATATTATGCATACTTATATAATAACTAACCAGAACTCTATCAAAAGCTGATGGATTACCACCTCTTTGAACATGACCAAGAACAGTAATTCTGGTGTCTTGTTGCAATTTTTCTACAACAACTTTATGAACTTTTTCAGCAGTGATCGGTTCAGCGTTCCTATCTACCGCACCTTCTGCCACAATAATAATATTAAGTCGTTGTCCAGTGAGTCTTTCCTAAAAATATATTTTATTATCTTTATAATAAATTGAGACGTATAGATATATTATAAATTGGATGTTACAAAGAGAAATGTAAAGATTTTTTTACAAAGAAATTGAAAAAAAAAATAATAAATTATAAGTAACAGAAAAGATAAGAATACAAAAATTTCTAACGGTATTGTTATCTTCCATAAACATGCCAAACATTTAATTAGTTAATTTTAGAAATAATTAAACATGAAACTCATTGAACGAATATATTGTTGTACATCAATATAATGTAAAATAAAATTATGAACAAAGTATAAAACTATAAATAAACTTACCATTACGAAAAAATGAACCAAACTAAAATTAATATATCTATAATATTACTCTCCTTACTCAATGAGCAAAAAAGTTAAATTATATAAGATAAGATAAACAGCAAAAGCATAAATTTAAGGCAAAAAATTGTTCTATGGTATCAGAAGCAATGAAAGATGCTAAATATTCTTGTAAAACCGTTTAAAAAATAAAAAAAAAAAAATACGTGCGAACCTGTAACAGCTTTTTACACAGCTTGTTTGGCCAATCTTGTTCAGGTGGCCACTCTGGGATGAACACATAATCAGCTTCAGAACATATGGCTGCCACTAGAGCCAGGTAACTGTAATAGTATGTTATAAGAGCTAGCTAAAAATATTACATTACATAAACAACGTGGTAATTATAATGAAATGACTAATTCCATTTTAAATTGATAAAAATACGAAGATAATAATAAAAATACTGCTAGTAGAACATTACAAAAATGTAAAATTGCAGAGGTTTAAGTTCTTGTTTAATACTTGTAACAAATTTTTACTGCTGACAGAAATTTACAATGTAAATGCTCAGAAACTAACATCCTTCCTCAAAATTTAACTATTCCGGTAAAGGAGCAGACACACGTTTAAAAATAAATTCAATGCAATGTAATCTGGCTAACAAATTTTACATTATAGGAAAGCATGATTCATTAAGGATAGAATAATGATTGATCAAGGACGTGCCTGTTGCACAGCTTTGCAAAGTTCCTCAATCCAATCACCTGACGGCGGTACTTCAGGTATAAAGCAATAGCATGCTTCGGAAGATAAACTTGAAGCTAACGTCAGATACCTGAAAGACTTTAGTTTTTCATTACATTCGCACTATGTGCTTTATTGGAATTTCTTTCTATCCTTAAAATAGAAAGCTAATTAGTTTTCGATTCTTTTGACTTGGTGCTTAACTGTAAGATGGAATGGGTTGTAATATTGACAACATAATTAAGCAATTAAAAATTATGAAATGAAAAGGAAAAACACAACTGTTGAATTTGTTAAACTAAGTTAGGGAGAAAACAACACTGTAACATATAAATTTATAATATCCTAAACAACGTGCCTGCTCCAATTTTTTACATAATTTATCAGGCCAGTCAACAGGAGGTGGTGATTCCGGGCAGAAAACATAGTCTGCCTCTGCCGCTAAAGCACCCACAATTGCCAAATACCTATCCAAAACGTTGTCACATTTGTAAAGAATAATATGAAAACAGATATTTTTCAATTCACAAAATATTATGATTGAATCCTTTAAATAAATAAGTTTCTTCGTGAAATATAATTAATTTTTTGATTTATTTAAACAATGAAAATTCTTAGTATTTCACTAGCAAAATATAACCAACAACTTACCCGCAATGTCGACCCATAACTTCCATTATGAATGTTCTTTGATGAGAATATGCTGTGCTAACAATAGCATCGATACTTTCGATAATACGATGTAACGCAGAATCGGTACCAATAGTCATATCAGTCCCACAAAAGTCATTATCGATAGAACCTACCATACCAGCGATATGTAAATGTTGGTATTTTTCTGCTTGTTCCGGAGTAATTTCACCTAAATAAATAGCAATGGTAAAATATACATAAAAATATAATACAGTTATAAAAATATCTGATTTTTTCTTACCTGCATCAGCTAATTCTTTTAAGAGATCTGGCCACTCTTCCTTAAATAAATTTGCACCAGTAAGAGAACCATCGCCTCCTATTACAACCAAATTGGTTATTCCACGAGTTACTAAATTTTTTGCAGCTGTTCTACGACCAGCACGTTCTCTAAATTCTTTGCAACGAGCAGATCCTATTACTGTACCACCCTAAGACATGTAATTGTAATAATTTATATCGTGTTGCAATAATAATCAACAACATAACAATCAAAATACATACTCTATGAATGATACAAGAGACAGATGACCAATTTGCTTCTACAATATTATTTCCACCATCTACCATACCCTGATAGCCTTCTTTAATAAAAAAAACTTTACATCCCAGATAAATACCCATTCTGACAACTGCTCGAACTGCTGCATTCATTCCTAAACAATAATTTTTATTATTGAAATTTAAGTAACAAGATATCAGTCAACATATCTCACTTAAATTAATTAATTCATTACCTTGAGAATCACCTCCACTGGTAAAGACTGCAAGGCCTTTACCTTTGTGACTGCCAGGTTTTATGAATCTTTGTGCTGCTAATTCTTCTGCCATTTTTGCTGCAGGATGCCACTTATGTTTCTACAACATAATTCTTTTTGTAATTTCTTCCTTATGATGTTAGGCAAAAGTTTTAATAGAGAGTATAAGTATTAATTATAATTCATTTCATAAACAGATATTAATTTAGTCATCATGAAAAAGAACTATATCTTTTTCTCTAAAGATCTATAAGTCTAGATTTTTTTTATTGTTGTAACAAAAATGCAACAGAATATTAAATGGTAATTCCTTATAAACATTGGCTTTAATTTTTTATCGATCAAGAGAATAATAAGTATGTAGAATGAGAATATATTATATTCACCAAATTTTTAACTCACTTCGAAAGAATTCATTGACAATTTCAAATTTTGGATATTAAATGTTGAACTTCTATTAATATTATCATCCATTATATCTGGGAGTGAGGTACTCACAATGCAAAAATTTATTTTACTTTCGAAAGAGATACTTTCTTTATCATCTGATAAAAAAATTGAAGTTACTTTTAAAAATTCTTATTATATAATATGAAATAAATTTTATAATCAATACATATTACTTTGTATAGGGATTGGAATATCAGAGGGAGTATCCTCTTTCTCTGATTCGTCTTTCATTGTGCAAACACATATTTCATCATGTTTCATAGACATTATGCTACTTTGGAAAATAAATATACAAGAAATTTCAACAGTCATTAAGAAATAATTTCTTATGCCCTATCTGAAGATATATAACCTAAAATAACAAATACTATTTACACTATACAAATTATACTCTAATGTCATCTGAACATAGCATTTAATTCATTTCAAGGAACTCATTACAAACATTTATATAACAGTCATCTATAAAATATATTTCTCGCATACCCTATCGCTTTTAAATATCATAAAAACTGACATTATTTCAACAACTTTTATTGAATAAGTTATATATACATAAAACATATATATATATATATTGAATAAATATATGTTAATGAATAAAGTTAATGAATAAAGACAAAATAAGTCATAAATATAACAAAAATAAGTCATAAATATATAAGATCATAAGATTAAATTTTCATCAAGCGACTTATTTCACTTAAGATCATAATTATTCAAGAGCAAACAATGAGAAATATATCGAAAACATGCTCTTAAAAAACATTGCAACATAAAACATTTTCTGCGTTCTTTCTTATTTTAAAATAAAATAGCATATGCTCGAAGAATCAATGGAATCTGGCACAGTCACAATCTACTGTGCATCAAAACATTAGAACAACGATAATGGTATAAAATAGATTGTTGAAACTAGTTTCTTTGCATGTAACATAAACTTTATATATAAAAAAATGTCAAGTTAATACAAAAAACTGATAAGCTAGTAAGATGCAAAACAGTCAAATTTGTTGGAAAACTAATTAATTGTCTTTTATAGCGTGTATACAAAATAACGTCATTCTGTCACTGACATTTAGCTTGGCACATATAAAATATAATTGAATGAAATTGAACATTTTTCAACTTACCAAACAAATGTACTTCTAACTGCAACGAGGATTGTGTAGACAATTTTTCCTCGATTTCAAAGTTACCTGAAGGACCTGCAGTGCTCTGACGAAACATGAGACACTGCTTTCGCGTCTTTAGTCTAACTAAAACTGAAGGTGACCTCTACGTGTGCTTCAGCACGAGGCCCCCACCAGCAGTATCAGTTAGCTCTCACACCCCACCCTATATAAAATTAAATTTAGGAAGCGGCCGTAGATGGTGTTAGAACGACAATATATGCAACTAACCAATACGATATTTTTCAACTGTTGCGCTTATTTTTCCGAAACTATTTAAAATTTTTTTTGCTAAAAGTTCATGTAATTTTGTACGTTTTCATTTTCGTCGAAGGCAAACTAACTCCAATGTATTCTATTACGTGCTACGTATATGCAACGAGATTCGACAGATCCTACGAGAATCTTACGTATTCACTGTTTTCACGTCACACAGACGTTTAAAAGAGTAAAACATATCTCGACTCAACCATCATTTTCGCTAAATAGTTATTGATGTACGACTGTTCAAAGACAATGCAATTCATTCTAATAATAATCCATGACTACATGAAGTCATGTGACAACACTTTTACGTCCTTCTATGAATGGCTGATACTACTTAAATATTTTTATTTTTAATTGTGCTAAAAAGAACGTAAGCTCGAAATAATTATTTTCACTCTTCTTACAAATTAAAATTTCATCATCTAGCTGTAAAAAAAACTACGACGGGATAAATATATAGATTGATCTACGATCAGGTTACTAAGGTAACGAATCTTCGTTTTCGAAGGAGGAAATCAGTAACAATGCCGAGAAGAATTGTGTTTGGTAAAATCGGTATTATTATTATCAGAAATTTAAAATATAATAAGATGTTGTTATTACAACATACGAAAGAAATAGCATCGGCGTTTGATGAAAAGTTTTATTGAAAGTCTTCATTCTTAAAAAATCATGCGCTATTGATTCGTCAAATTATCAAGCAAATTTTATTTACAAACCAATTCCTTTTTTTTTTTATTTCTTTTCGAAATTTTATTACCTACTGTTCTCATTTAATTTCTAATTTTTCTAGCAGTCATACCAAGATCTGGCCAATACTGTTAAAATCTTGACAAATTTTGTAAAAATCTTACGTTTAAATATCGTGATTTGTTTTTAGATACTTAGAATTTCAATAATTGAAATTCGATCTTATACAATTGACTACACATTCGTAAAGGAAACTAAACGATAAATAGATAAAGATAATTTTAAAATTTGAAGAAAATAGGAAACGTCCTTTTATCGACTATGTCGGTTGTGTACAAAGCCTTGTATAATTAATTTGCAATAGAATTTCTTTTCTTTGAAAATGCACATCGACATTTTATATATATATATATATATATATATGTGTATATAAATAAAAAATTATAACGCGATACAAGAATTTAAGGATCTGCAGACGGATACTTATTAAAAGCCAACTAAATTACTATATTTTTGTAGACGAATATACAAACATACACATTTTTCGTATAAACTTTGAAAGTTAACAAGATGTACAAAGACATCGCGAACCTATTCAATGCCTAAGTTCTTAATTTCAATACAAATTACCAAAATGTTGAAACACTGTTTTTGCTTTTTATTTCAAGATGATTAAGTTTGAATGAGTACTGTCGATACACAATCTGTATTTATTAAAAACCAGTCCCTTTCATTTTTAGGTTTTTGATCACTCGAGTCAGCGTTGAAAATGATATCAAATAATTTCCACTTCACATTTAATCAAATCTATTGTTTTCTTTTTCTTTTTTTTCAACTCTGTTCAGTATGTACATGCGATGGATTTCGAATTCAATGATACTAAAGATTATGACAGGACTAGCGAGCATAAGAACGATAATAATAATACTAATTGTAACGAAGAATTCTTACTGTATAGGAACATTGTGCTTACATCGGCTTAGCCTCTGAAATCAAGTTCTCAAACTTCGTATTTAAAATACTGTTAAAGATGCAAGTGTTGTTATTACGGTTTTTTTTTTTTTTTTTTGGAATTATTGACTCAATATAGAATATATTGTCCTTCCAGAGCCTGACAATACTGGAAAGCAGGACAATCGAAATTATGGTTTTTCTGAGACATTTTATCAGAATTTATTATTTCGTGTAAACGTTTATAATAATTATAATTTACAATTACGATGATCGATGATAAATACAAATAGAACAACATAACTTGGGACAAGGAAACTAGGGAAATTTAGCGGAATGAATATTTAAAATTTAGATGAATATTTAAAATTTGCGATGAATAACTTTTTTCACGGAGAGACAGAGACAGAGACAGAGATAGACAGACAGAGACAGAGACAGAGACAGAGACAGAGAGAGAGAGAGAGAGAGAGAGAGAGAGAGAGAGAGAGAGAGAGAGAGAGA